TCGTTTCAGTACAATTCACATCATAACATTCTAACAAGTTACTTATTTTGACCATAATAACACTCGTCTTATTTCCCATCCGATTGAAATTCATCAATAACACTCATTTTATTATTTCTGAATGTACATTATCCCATATTGATTCTTATTCCAATATCTAATCATCAATTCCACTCATGTATATAAATGAAGGAAAAAAGTTGTATAAGTGATGCCTCGATATGATTATGAGTGGCAATAGTTTGTGCTCAACACGTGGTCATCAGTCAATATTACTGTATAACACTGTGTGATTTATCAAAATAAAATCTTATCCATAATGGAGCAACACTTTAAACGTCCAACCGTTATCTACGAAGTGAAACTATTTGTGCGTATATGACTTGTTGATGTATAAATGGACCGAATTGATCAAGCATATTTCGGCAAAGGGAGTCCCTGAACAGATGTTGCAATATTACCCAGAACTTTAAGTTACTGATTTGGAAGTGCCTGGGCAGTGGAATCTACATCTGGTGTTTCGTCCCATTTTTGGTTTATCACCTGGATGTGCTGGCATCTTAGTAAGTAGTGGTTGTTTCCCTTCAGAAGGATTCGACCCAAGCACTCGTGTCATTTCAAACATAACATAATTTTCAAAAATATATGTATATCTGTATAGCGCTAGTGCATGGATCAGAGACTTGGCGCGGCTTCACCAAGGGTACTTCGAACAAACTACACACCAGCATCAACAGCTGTCTTCATTCAATCCTATTGAAGATCAGATGGCCAGGCAGAGAAGATCAGCAACAGGGGTCTCTGGCAATGAATGAACCAACCCAGCAGGAACCAATTGTGCAACAAATATGCAAGAAGAAATGTTGGTGGATTGAAGGCCATACTCTGAGAAAACAAACCATCAAGTGGGTGACATCACACACCAGGTCATCACTCCAGTGGAACCAGGCCGAATGGGAAGCGGCAATTGAGTTGGTCGTCAGTATAAGGGTGACATGGAGGAGGTCGTGAGAACAAGAGATGAAAGCATGTGGACAGACGTGGAGTCAGGTGAGAAAACGTTGACAGAGCACCGAACGCACAATGGAGGCGTGAGACTGAAGCCCTATGTTCCTCTAGGAACTAAACGAGATATATATATATTACTTACCTGTCAATAACCTATTTAATGTTACCTTAAATGGTTGTTCCAAATGTGAATCAATTTGTAAGCAAACACGATCACCGAATTGATCAATTATTGTTATATCTTTACACATAATACGTATTTTTCGAATAAATGCCTCCATATTATGTTGTACTTCATCATCAGCGTTTGCTGGTGGTAAGTTATAATCACGTGACATTTTGACATCAACAATCAAGCCTTTACTACATGTACCTTTCGTAAGATATGATGAACCAATTGATCTAAATGGACAGAAAAAAAAGAAAGAAACCAGGAAAAGTTTAAAAATATGTTTAAGTGAATAGAACTGAAAGATATTTTTAAAAAACTACATTTTTCAAGTATTGGTTTGTAGGGATTTAGTTTGGTCGGTTGGAGGATTTCCTCATGAGCTGATGTCGCTTAGAGGACCATTGGAAGACCAGTAAGGAGTACTGGACAGCCAGCTGTTTCTTCAGTTTAGTTTAGGACACTTCATCAGTATGCACCCACCACCACCACCAGATTTTGAACCTAGGTCCTTCTGATTATAAGGCTAGGGAATTCGTAGACCATTCATCAGATACTAGGATCCAATCTGATCCAATAGCCAGACCATGAGTTCCAACTTCTGCCAACTCACGATATAGCGTGACCACTTCGCAATGTCTTTTTCAATGAGTAACTGTTGTCACATTCAACCTGCTGTACCCTACTGGTCACGGCTTCCAATGGTTCTATAACCGATGTCAGCTGATGATGAAATCCTGCGAAATAATTTGGCGCCGAGTGAGAAGTAGACATCTGTAAAAAAAATTATATTTGTAAAATCTCAGCGAAGTTGAAACGAGCAATTCCAACGTTTCCTGGATTCGGCAAACTGGTCCGATGAAAAGATATTTGAAATGTAAAGATAAGGATGGATCGAAGCCTGTTGCTAAGAATTAGGTTAGTACAGCAGTGATTCCTTACCGCAAAGAAACATCAGATGAGATAAAGCAAATCCCTTAACAATCATGATATGATGAGTTTTTTTTGGTGCAACTAACACCTTACGCTCCTCATCACTGGTGAAGGCTAAGGATATATAAAACAGAAGAAGACAACCAACAGAATTGTGTGTACCAGATCAAGTGTGGGGATTTTAATCCCGTATACATAGAAGAAACTTCCAGACAGGTAAGAGTGAAAGGGTATAAACAATGTCTAAAGGTGGTTCTAAAGACCACTGTAGACTTAATGAAGCTAGAAAGCAGATCAGCGATTGCACTGCATTCGCTAGAAACAACGACACAAAATCGACTTTGATAGGACTGAGGTTCTACACAAAGGTTTTGGTTGGTATAAAGAAAGACTGATTGCAGCAGCTTTGCATATCTGGGTGAATCCAAACAGTTTGAACAGACGTGAAGGTTTGATACTGGCTCATGCATGGCAAATCCTGAATAATAAGTATTTAAAAAAATGGATACATATATCACTAGTTGATCATTATTATTATTATTATTATTATTATTGTATCCTTTAGTTCCTAGAGGAACATAGGGCTTCAGCTGCGCACCTCCATTGACTTCGGTTTTCTGACAACTTTTTCACCCTGCTCCAGGTCTGTCCACATGCTTTCATCTCCTCCTCGCATGACCTCCTCATTGATCATACTTGGTCTAAATTCCCGCTTGTCTATATCTACTTATAGAGAGGCTAACAAATGTTTTACAACTGTTTTCCCATGCGCACAAACACACACACACCGTTGTATACGGCATATACACATGTTTTCAAATTCACGGTCATGAAATTTAAATCGAACGTAATCACTAAAATTGTGATGAAAGTACACTCTTTAAAAGTTAATTGATGGATGATGACTAGCAGTGGAATTCAGGATGCGTATTTCGTCCTATTTGAGACTCATCATCCGAATGTACTTACATTCCGCAGTGAGTAATAATGTTCCCACCAAGGCTTGAACCCAGTGCCCATAGTTTCAAACGCCAAAGCGTTATCTACCAATTTGTGACCAGTGAGTTCCATCAAGTCAAGTGTGAGGATGGATTTCCCACCGATGATATTGGTTGGTAGTTGTGCAAAATCACGAATAGGTAGAAGTTAGAATTCATGGGCTGGCCATTGAAGAGTCGGGTCCCAGTGGCTTGCCTTGTAACCGGAAGCTATGGGTTCAAACTCCCTTGGGTGTGTACTGCCGATGATTCCCAAAAACATTGCTTATTATGCATAACACGTGTCCTAGTTATCTCAATCGATGTGGTTTCACAATATATATATAGGTAATTTAATAAATATACTACCTAAATTGATGAAAGTAACCAACCAACAATAACATGAAGCACCAATCAATATCAACGGAACAAATTTTACAGATGTTACTTCACCCCGCTTATCTAGACTCCATCGTTTCAACTACACAAGCAGGTATGGATAATGTTGTCAAAATCCATAATCGGAAAGGCAAGGCAGACTTTAGTCACTCGAAAATCAGTTTGCAGTTTTCATACTCACCGCCTCAGCATAAACAACAAAATTCGGATTCTGTTCAACACAAACGTTATTTCTTCTATAAAGGCCAGAAACTTGACCAGCGTGTCCCGAAAAGAATTTCTAACAACCTGTTGCAGACTTTCGTTCAACAGCTGCCCACTTCGCTGGCTGGCTCCATACTGAAGATCAAATCGCTGGCCAGAAAGAATAAGTAACAAGAAATTCTGGGGACGAACCAACCAAGAACCCATCGCTCAACATATGCGCCGAATAAAATGGGGATGAATTCGACGCACACACACACTGAGGAGACCGTCGGGTGACATCGCTCACCAGGCCATTGTTCGAGTGGAATCCGAATGGGAAACGACGAATGGGTCGTGTGGGGGTGATGTGGAAAAGATGAGAGAATATGGGCGACCGTGGTTTTCACCGAAACAGAACTATCGAGAATTGTACCATTAGCCCCAACGGGTTGATGTCTGACGAAATCTCAGCACGGATACAGAGGGCTAGTTTCGCATATGCCAGTTTACGCCGTCTCTGGAGTAGACGTGATATCCGGCTATCAACCAAAGGGCAGGTGTACTGCTCAGCAGTCCGCTCCGTCTTCCTTATGGCTGTGAGACATGGTGGCCATTGAGAGTCGAAGACATGAAAAGGCTAGACAGCTGTCTTTCATCACAGGTGCCTTGCGCTCTATCTCCCGTGTGAAGTGGTATAATAAGGTGAGCGATATTGAGGTTAGACGTCGACTGTAAGGTAAGGAGGGGAAATCAGTCGACGAGGCTGTGAAGCTACATCTATTGAGATGGTTGGGACATGTGTTAAGTATGCATCCCTGGCCATCGCCTTGGGAAATAAGACAGGTTAGTTGTGAGGTTAGTAACCCCACGCCTTAAAGAAAATACATGTGCTAATCAAACTTTAGGTCTTGAAATGCCTTCATATTCTGTAAATTAGCTGGCAGCTGGTGATGTACACAGTTCGAGGAGTGAAGGTTTCACTACAGTTACTTTTGGGAACCAACTTGATATCATAAATAGTGCTCAAGAAAGCAATTATATTCGTATAAAACTATATACTACTGATTGATTGATATAAGTAGTTGCATACAAGTAGTACTCACCAGCTAGCCAGATCGAGGTGATCTAAAAAAAATAAAGAGACGGCCGTTTCGGTGTTCAACATCAGCCGTCCCGAGTTGCTTCAATTCGGCTAGCTAGCAAACACTACTGATTGTGATATGAGTAGTATAGAACTACATGAGAGTTATTAAACAAATTAATAACAAAGAGAAAAACAGATATAACGCAACACGTTAGTCATTATTGTTATTATTATTGGTACTTACAGTGTACATCCATTGACAAGTATGGCTAAAGTATCACAGACAGCTTCAGCTTCATCAGTAGCATGTGTTGATACAATACAACCTCTGTTTGTTCCCTTGATACACTTTAACAAAGTGTTCCTGAATAATAATAATAATAATGTCAATTAATAATAATAATCTACTTTATTCCAAAAACAGTACTTATAATACAGAATGAAATTCTCAGCATTTGTCACAATATCCTGCATCTGATTTACTCAAAATATAAATAAAATTAAAACAAAAGTAACCAGAGGAATTTGTCCACGTTTACGATATAAAGTCAAAAATATTCGAAGCACGAATTGAGATCATTAAATATAATAATAATAATAATAATAATAATAATAATAACAGTGAGTTTGTTTCAAACAATATTCTCGATTCGGATATGATAGAGAAGATTTGTAGCTCAGGTGGATGATTTTGATGTGGTTGTGTTCTCTGAGCTGGATGGTTTATAGCTACGAATCTTTCAATTATTTTATCAGGAAACATCTTCAGCGCATACACTTCACTTCGCTGAAGTGGGATTTTCACTTTCTTCACGAATTTATTAATCACCTCTCCTGGTGACCTTCGACGTGATTCGGTTGTTTTTGTGTTTTCACACCATCTAGGTTACTTGTACTGGAAGTGATTGTTTCTCTGACTTGAACTTTGACCCTTTGTGTGTGAGGTTTCTTTCTTATCGGTTGGTAAATTTTGTCTATCTCGATGTGTCCACTGACTGATGATTCACTGGAATGCCAAACAGGTTTCTAAAAATTCTCTAGCATTCTTGTTGTTTCTTCTGTCTAATATTTTAACTTTGTCCCAGTCGAATTGATGTCCGTGGTTGTCTGTGTGTAGTGGGTGATATGAGGGAGTGGATATCATGTCTTTCGACGGCTGGCTTATGATCGTGGATACGAAGACGAAGGAGACGTCCACTTTGGCCAATGTAGTGTTTTTCGCAGTTGTTACAATTTAATTTGTAGATGATGCTGGTTTTATCTTCTTTCGCTGTTGAGAATTTTGGTTGACATAAAATTGAATGAAGTGACTTTATTGGTTTGTATACGACGTCAATTCCTAAAGTTTGAAGAGTTTTGTAGTGATTTCTGAGATATCCTTTATAAATGGTAAGGCGATTTTCTTTGTGCTTTCCTTGGGGGCCAAGCCAAAAAAACAGTTCCAATATTTTTTTATATTTTATATTTTTTATTTTTTGATTACAGCTTGACTCCACACCGCATTTTTGCTACAAGTATGGAATTTTCAGCGTGGATATCGGTAGCCCAAAATTCGCAGGCCAACCATAGATATCAGGTGTGCGTCGGCGTGGGTTCGAACCCCGGACCATGTGCATGGTCGGCGAGAGTCCTAACCACTGTGCCACCGACGCACAAGTAACGCATACAAGTAACCTAGAAGGTGTGAAAACACACAAAAACAGCCAATCACGTCCAAGGTCACCAGGGGAAATGATTAATTAACTTGTGGCGAAATCTAAAAGCTCACTTCAAATTCAAGTATGCACATGAAGATGTCACCTAGTAGGGTGATGAAATCTTCGCAAATCAACCATCCAGTTCAGAGAACACAACCACATCAGAATATCGTCGATTCAGTTTGGAAACTTTAGCAAGTTATAGACTATTGAATCTAATGTTCTGTTGATATAGCGGCATGGTGAGGGGAAAGACAAAATTAACAGTTATAATAACACAGCTTAAATGATGTTTACACTTTTGAGAAAATAAACAAATAAAAACCAAAAATCGCGAAGATTATAAATATAAGACGAACAATAACAATAAAGATTGATGTTATAAGGGTGGAGGAAATGGTTTATTTACTGGTGCAAAGAAGGTTAGTCAGTTAGTTCATGCTTGACAGTATTTTCATCACATAAAACAATGAATGACAAATATGGTATCGTGGAAATTTTATACTTAGACGTGCGTGCATTAAGTCTTTTGATGAAGTGACTCCTTGTTCTACCTGAGGAGGAGGAGGAGGAGATGCGAGATGAATGTTGTGGGTGCTGAGGTGGATTGCTCACAGTCTGACAAAATCCTTTTTGGCGAATTTGTTGCATGAAATCAGATGCCTATTAATGACGATATCAACGATATGGCTCAATGGAATACAACCACTCACCCCACTGACAGTCAGACTTTAGAGTCCTATGAAGTATGACATAGTCTTTTTTAAACAATCCAGGAAAGAATAACCAAGGGTGAACATTAAGGGAGAATAGGCAAGATGCACGAGTTGACAAACTATAAGAGGAGGAGGGTTTTGGTTGATTTATGCCTGAGTGCCTTAACTTCTTAGTGTGAAAAGTCAGACGAAATATTCTTTTAGAAATTCCTAAGACGTCTGGGAAGACCAGGATAGGTTAGAAGAAAGAATTAATCCAAGATGCTTAACATCAGACGTGATTTTTATATCAGTATCATCAATTTTGCAACGGTCATAGGATTGAACAGCTTCATCATTTAACTTTATTTTACATGGGAAACTGAAATTAACTGTCTGACATTTGGAAGGTTTTAGTTTAAGGCCATTTGACGAAGACCATGATAATAATAAGTCAATTAGAAATTAAATTCACAAAAGAGTTTAACTAAATGGAGTCAGTGAGAAGAATTCTTTGAAAACAAACAGTGCTGGACAATTGTTTTATCCATAAAATAATTCCAATTGCTATAGGGTTTCACCATGAGCTGACATCGGTTAGAGAAACATTGGAAAACCAATAGGGAGTACTGAACAGCCAGTTGTTTCGCCAGTCCAGTTTGGGACTCTGCAGGAGTACGCATGCACACTGCAAGGGTCGAACTCCGGGGCCTTCTGGTTACAAGGCTAGCAAGTTCGTAGACCATTCATCAGTCACTGGGACCCTATTCAATGACCAGTCCATGAATTCTAACTTTGACCAATTCGTGATTTATCGCGACCTCAACCAATATCATCGGTGGGACATCCATCCACACACGTGACATCTAATTCGACCTCACTGGTCACGACTTCTCACTAGAAGTCCAGGAAACTCCATCCTGCAGCAAGTCAACTACTCAATGATTCCCAAACTAGGATGAAACAGCAGCTGTCCAGTAATCCCTAGTTCTCAATGGTTCTCTAACTGATATCGATCTGTGATCAACTCGTAAAAAACAAAACTAATCCTTACAAACCAAACTATAGAAGATAAGTGAGATGTTAATTATTAATAAAAACAATTAAAGGATAGAAATGGTTACAACAAGTGGATTGTATAGTGCATACTTTTGAGAAAATGAAGGGTATGTAAGGAATAAGAAAGTGTTCAATTTAATTACGTAATAGGCAATTAAAAGGAAAATAAAATAATTTAGAGGATTTTAATTTTTAACATGTTTAGGAAGAGGGTAAAATAGTCGGGTTTTTACATTCATGTACCTCTGGGCAAGGTAAGGAAGGTGCCTGTAGGAATTTCTTCTGAACAAAGAGGTTTGAATTGTTCTTCAGGTGGATTTTTAGGGCTTCAGTAGAAAAGGAACTAGTAAGGCAAAATTTAGATTAGCTGGTGTGCGATAAATCACTTTAAATGCTGTACTAACATCAACTTTATGCTCAAGTCTATAAGGTATGCTTAGATAGAGCTAGCTACGAATGAATGGATTTAGTTTATCCTTTGCTTAACTACTATGCAGGATGATGTTTGGAAATACGCGTGAATGAACCTGCTTAATTGTATGCTCAATGTAGCTGGCTCAGCAGTTACAGTCAAACTGGTAGGCTCACAGAGAAAAGGTGAAATTAGATGGTTTCAACGGGCTTTTCCTTAAGCTGTCATTTTCGTGTCCTCTTGATAAACACCGAAGAGGGCGGATTCACTTTGACTATCGACTTTTTCACCTCAAATATCAACTAATCATATGTTTATGTCGACTAGAGACTGACAAACGGGGATTATTCAGGTAGTGGGTGGCTGTTACCTTCACATAGTAGTCGGGCTGACATAGTGAAGCAACCTAACGAGCTACACTGGTTGGAACTAATGTTCCAAGAGGTTCAACTATGCTGGAAAGGTTATTTGAATAGGGGTTTGACTAAAAACAGTTATCACCACAGTATAAGTCGTCTATAATCTGTTGGGGATCTGTTGGCGAAGTTGTACCGCTTACAAATTTGGTCTGTGACAGCAGTAAAATATTTCTCTCAGACGATCAGCCATTCAAGTATGCTGCGTCTACGCTCTTAAGAGGGTTGGATTAGCAAAAGTCAATCCCAAAAATTGTACATTCCAACCTGACTTGCGGCGGTAAGTTATTGAGATACGGACACAATCCGAATAACCACCTCAAACGGACTGTGTGTTGCCCAACCCATCTCATGCAGTTGTCTCCTAGGCTCTAGGGTCACACAGTACTAGTGTACTCAAAGAAGAAATCAACTTCCACGATGTTGACAACCGGGAAGTAACAACCGCCTCTGCACTTACATAAGCACTTAAGGCCAGTCATTTGTTAGAATTATTGGTAAAAATGAACAAAAAGAAGAATTTCTATAAATTTTACCAATAACAAGACAATAAAAATAACGATAAGAAAACGAAGGAACCAACGAAACATTTGAACAGTTCAGTTTATCATACCATAAACTTCGTCTAGATCTTGGATCAACACCACACGATGGTTCATCCATTATCACTAAACTTGGATCACCGACTAAACTGATACCCATTGACAACTGTATGAATGTAAACATATACACAGATACACATACATACACGAAAAAAATAAATAGTTGTGTTGGTTTGCAGGGATTCGACTGCTTTCAATATTGACCACGAACTGACTTCAGTCACAGAACTACCGGACAACCAAGGAATACTGAACAGGCAGTTCGTCTCTGTCTAAGACTCTTCATCAGCACTCACCCATGAGTCCTACCGCTAGGGATCGAACCTAAGACCTTCAGGTTACACGGCAAGCTCACTGATTATTTAACCACTGGATCATCGGTTGATGATGCTGAAGAGTCCTAAACAAGCACGAAACAGATGTCCAGTACTGCCAGGTTCCTACGGAGTTCTCTAAGTAAGAATTCAGCTATTGATCAATCTTCTATTGGGTCCCATTTTGGCAGATTTCTTTCCAAGTAAACTAGAACATGGACCTGTGAACAACCTCATCAGAAAATTCTGACTTTATTGCCGATATATGGATGACACTTTTATTCTTTGTGCTAATACGATTCAGATAGGAACACAATAATAACTGAATTCAATGAAACACATTCTTCTATGAAATTCACGTGCGAAGAGGAATCCCAAAACAGAATTGCCTTCCTGGATGTCCTCCTTACAATAAAACCAGATGTTAGCATAAAAACAAATTTCCATAGGAAAAGCGAATGGACAGGACAATATACACCATTTTCACAGCTTTGTTCCCCTCCAGTACAAAAAAAATTTTAGTAAAGACCCTCAGCCGCACCGTTAGAGCTCTATGCTCAGAAGAAGTAAGTGAAGATGAATTAAGGATTGTATATGTACATTGACTGAAAATATCTATCCCGACAGATTTATCAAGAAACATGTGACGAAGAAGGTGGGAAAGGACTACTCACTATCTGTAAACAAGAAGCCTTTATACATACGAGTGCAATTCAAAGGCGATATACCAAGCGAAATAAGTACTAAGAAATTAAGAAAATCAGCTCAAAGCACTTTTAATGCTGGCGAACCACAAGTCTTATTCTCTACACGACCGATTTCGACTCCTCGATTGAAAGATGAAGTACCTAGACTAGATAGCCACTTCAAATTGTATCTATCAATTCAACTGCACTTGTGGCGGAGCGAGTTATATTGGCCGTTGCTCTAGGAATTTGATTTTTCATCGTCGCTCGGAAATATCTCCCAGTATGGTTAAGTAAAGATGTAGTAAAAAGCATCAACAGTTCGATATTAGAATACCTGGTCCAAACTAACCAGGAAGATAATATTGAAGAGTCCTCCGCCACCATCTATCGAGTACCAAACGAAGTGTTAAAAACATCCAGGTACCGCATACTCTAAACAACAGAGACTATAGAGATTCGCCTAAAACAACCTGTGCTTTGTGTGTAGAAGAAGCAAGTCCAGCCAACCACTACCACACTGTCCTGGTCGACCTTCAGTAGAGACTATGAATTCATGAATTTGTATCATTATTTCTCATTTCTCTGACATTCATTCAGTGTATTGCTATGTTGATGCTATCGAAGTGTAATCCATTGATACTATTATTATTATTATTACTGATTCAATGTTATTTAAACAACATTAATGTTGCTAATAATAACACTAATTCATTCATTCACTATCATGGATGGATTTATAACTGTAGAACCTGATGAAGTGAAGAAGGGGTGATTGTTATGTACTCGTCGCTAAATTATTGTTATGGACTGGTCGAGAAACTAATAGTCCTGACGCAAGAAGGCGGAAATCAGAAGACCACTAGGTTTGCGATGATACTTCTATTGTCCAAACACAAGGAGACGAAAATAAATGGTCTCACACCAAAGTGGTAAGTAAGTAAAGTAAAGTAGTTCACACAAATTGTTTATGCGAAATATATATGAATGTTCAGACAAGGGTGTCAACAAATCATTAGACAGTCTTAACATGAATGGCTAATTATAATGGAGTGTCGATCCAAATATACATAGCAAAATATAGCAGACATGTCAACAACCCCACATATAATATGGATATATGTCACCAAGCTACGGACTGTCAACAAACACTCATATTATATATAATATAATATAAGGAGAAGACACATTATTAAAGGAGACAAGTCCATACAAGTGAAGTGGTCACAGACTAACCGAACAAATAGAAAGAGAGACCAACATGCACACACACACATAAATATATATATGTGGATACATATCACATATCAGTGCAGATACCAGAGATATGTATGGAAGATATTATTACCATCAGTCAGTCAGTCAGTCAGTCAAATCAGAAGAGGATAATAAATAATCTCAAAATTGCATTTCAATTCAAACACATCACACTATTCTAACAAGTTACTTATTATGACTATAAAAAAACTCGTCTTATTTCCATCTGATTATAATAGATCAATAACACTCGTACTATTATTTCTGAATGTACATGATCTCATATTGATTTTTAATTCAATATCTAATCGATTCCACATATGTATATAAATGAAAGAAAAAAGTTGTGTGAGTTACTTGATATGATTATGAGCAGTAATAAATTGTGCTCAAAACGTGGTCATTAGTAAATATTACTATACAACAACACTGTGTGATTTATCAAAATAAAATCTTATCTATAATCGAGTTATACTTGCACACACACACACACACAGATATACAACAACTACTTGTCTATATACTCCTGATGATAAATCGTATATAACTTTTTTGCAGTGCAATCTCATCTAATGATGTATTCATCACTATGATAGAATATTTGTCGATTATTTATAAATAACTAACTGAGTGGTTCTATGCTTGTAGCGTTTTTTAAACGAAAAACAAGTGCGAGTTCTTCTTTCACCTATTTTTTAATGGTGAGAACTTCTTCAACATTTCGATTGAAAAAACCACACTAAGGAAATATAGTGTTTATTGGTTTGTAGGGATTTGATTGGTTACAGGATTTCATCATCGGCTGACATTGGTTAAAGAACCATTGGAAAACCGACCAGAAGTACTGGACAACTGTTTCCCCCGTCCTAGTTTGGAACTCTTCATCAGTACACACCCACCGGGATTCAAACCCAGGACCTCCTGGTTACAAGGTGGGCTGATATCGGTTGGAGAATCATTGGAAAACCAGCCACAGGGAGTACTGGACAACCAGCTGCCTCCTCAGTCTAGTTTGGGACTCTTCAGGAATACACACCCACACTGTGAGGTTTGAACCCATGACTTTCTGGTTGCAAGGCTAGCGAGCTCGTAGACCATTCATCAGTCACTGAAACCAACCCGATACAATAGCCAGCCCATGAATTTCAACTTCTGCCAATTAACAACATAGTGGGTCCACTTCGCAATGTCTTCTTTGATGAGTTACTGTCTCATCTTCAACCTGCTGCAGCCTACTGTTCACGGCTGAGGAAACAGCTGTCTGGCGAACACTCCCACGTTTTCCAATGTCTCTCTAACTGATATCTCTTTCAGTTTCAGCTTTTTCAATGTGTCTCATCAAATGATACTAGAAACCTGTTGATTTACTTGTGAAGCTTTCGTTGTCACCACCTCCATTCTAAACAACATCTCCAGAGAAGGTTTTAAGCATGAGATGAACTTGAATTTGAATTCTGCATGAATTATGTTACAATTGTATCTTCTGACATCCCCTTGTCTAGAGTGAGTGGTTACAGATTTACATTGATCATTTTTACTGACTTGGAATCTGGAACGTCTTGTCATGATATGATTTACTTTTTATTAGTTGATAAATTTGGTTTGTAGTAATGTGGTTTTGTTAATCGTTAGCTGATTCACTTGGGTACTAGGCTTCTAGGAATTCCCTGACTGATGTTTTGGTGTTCCCTCTATTTAAAATTTCTTCATTCTCCCGATCATCAAACTGGTGTCCATAATTATCCACATGCACTGATATGAAATAGGAATAGGTGTCGTGTCTTTCCACAGCTAATTTATGATCTTAGATTCTATGGGGAAGGGGATGCCCACTTTGTTGACCGATGTAGTGCCTATCTCACTTTATGCGTTTTACTTTGTAAATGGCTTAGATCTTATCTTCTCTTGCTGTCGGAACTTTTGGTCTACACAATATTGATTGAAGTGATTCGGTTGGCTTGTGTGCTATGTCGCTTTCAAAAGGTCTCATTATTATATTATTATTGTTTCCTTTAGATAGTAGAAGAACATCGGGCTTCAGCCGAGCGTCTCCACTGCGTTCGGTTCTCTGCGAGAGTTTTCACCTGGCTCCAAGTCTACTCACGTGACCTCCTCCAAGTCACCCTTGCACTGACGACCAACTCGCCGCTTCCCTTTCGGGTTCCACTCGAGCGATGGCTTGTCTAGTGATGTCACTTGCTGATTTCCCCAGCGTATGGCCAATCCACCTCCATTTCTTCCTACATATTCCTTGAACAATTGGTTCCTGGTTAGTTCGCTCCCAGAGATCCCTGTTGCTGATCTTTTCTGGCTGGCTATCTGATCTTGAGTACTAAGCGAAGACAACTGTTAATGAAGGTTTGAAGTTTGTTTGAGATGCTCTTTATGACGCGCCAAGTCTTTGATCCGTATAGTAGCACTGAAAAGAATAGAATTATGTTGTCTAATTCTTCTTCTCTTGTAAATTTCATTTAGCTACGCTTGGCTTGTGAAATAAAAGTATTCAAACAAAATTGAGATCCGTCAACTGATTGGACCGAAGTGCTCGGTCCAGGTTGACATGTCGGCGTCTCCTTGTGCAGGTGCTTTGGCGATGTCTGGACATGTAATTAGAATTTAATTGGTGGATGGTGACTAGCAGTGGAATCCATTGGGATGAGCACGTTGTCTCATTTGGGATTCATCATCTGGATGTACTTGCATTCATTTCCCAAGTGAGTGTTGATGTTCCCACCAAGGCTCGAATCCAGTGCCCATAGTTTCAAATACCAGCCAAAGCGTTATCCACTAGACACCACTTGGGCCACGAGAGCTGGCCACCTCTTGTGCAACGGGCCATATTAATTATTTAATTGACTTTTAGATTTTCCCGTCGAATGCAGCGTACATCTACTGGCTGACGAGTCCCAACTAGGACGAAATGCACATCCAAGTGGATTCCACTGCTAGTCACCATCCACCAATTAAAAATTGAGATCCTGTAGCCATCGAGAAAAAGAAATAGTCATCAAAAAGACATCTTTCCTTGTCTTGCCTCTAATTTCCTGATTATCATTACCTAATATATGTAAGAGGCCAAATAGAATTGAAGCATATATCTGATGTGGATTATTTTTGGTTTTAAAGTGACAAATTTAAATAGCTGACGACTAGCATACGCTCACACACACACACACACACACACGCATAAATACTACACCTAAATGCTTCTTCTTACCCGACGTTTGCATCCTCCAGATAGTGAACCTGATATAGTATTACTGTATTTAACTAGGCCAACTAACATCAAGATGCTAACAAGTAGAAAAAGAAAATAATAAAGATTACATAATCAACACATGTCCTTCTTCATTAATGCATAAAGAAACATAATTTAATATATATGTGTAAAACTTGAGCACTACTGTGGTAGTAAGTAATCCCATATTAGTTACAGGATTTCATCTTCATGAGTTGACATTGGTTAGAGAATCATTGGTAAACCAACTGGGAGTACTGAAAAGTCCCAAACTATGACGAAACAGCTGGCTGTTCAGTACTCCCAGTTGGTTTACCAATGGTTCTCTAACCAATGTCAACTCATGATGGTGAAATCCTGTAACCAATCAAACAAATCCTTACAAACCAATACTTGAAGCCCATATTAGTTTCTTTATTAGATACTTACTTTACTTTACTTTACTTTACTTCGGCTATCTCCTACGGGAGGATGAGCCGGCTTCATGAACCATGAAGTTTCATGGGAATTGGGTACGAGTGATGTCCCCAGCATCGCTCGGCCTTTTGTTTGAGAGTGCAGCTCTAGCCTTTACACAACCAAGTGTGACCTACAAGGCAGTAGGAGTGGAGTAGGGAGTCCACTATCCATTGGCAGCCGGTGACCGGAGTCCGGTTCATACGCCTTTTTGAATGGGGCCAGTCATCCAGGGCATCCAATAAGCCCTTTGTCCATACGTGTGCCGGTGAGCTTCATACGCCAGTCGTTGGAGGTTTGGAATCAGGGTTTAGCCATCTCCCCTAGACTGTCATCCAATGGACAGTCAACCCGGTGAAGAGCGCCGGGCATCCGCTTTTGCCCCCTCACTTTGGTGAAAAACACCTCCGCCACGTGAAGGCAGTGAGTAGGACTTCCTCAGGAGAGGCTATGTAAGACGCCCGGTCATATGGGAGCATTTCAAGAGGTGTACGGAGGGGTGGCCAACCCGCAGCGCAAGACACCCACCCCCGACCATCCTGAGGCTTTGGAGGCTAGATAGATATATCACACGCTGAAACAGTATTATTTACTGGATGACACAGTCTCGAACACAATTTATTGCTGTTCCTAATCATTTCATCAATTATAATCATTCAACTTCGAAACTTGAGATTTATAGTTTTCTTTATTCCCTTCTATTTATCGTCGCAGGCGTGATAGTAGAATTTTCCAGATATCCGCCTGGAGAGGTGTTGAATCATTCCTATTACACGTGTTCCCTGTCAGTTGATTCGATAAACAAACCTTCTGTTATCAATCCCTCTCCCTCCACCCTGTGACATTAGATTTTAAAACTGCCCTCCTATCCCATCCTATTGTATGGTTGTGTGTAATTGCATGTAGTGAGTGTTATCACTGAACTAGTCTCTAGATTTCTTATCTTATTCGGGTCAACTAATCTAGATTTAGTTGTTGGGTTTTTATGTTCGACTAATCTGACTGCCCCTCTTCTAATAGTTTGACCTATATATTCGACCTGACAATCATCGTTTTGTTTTAACCGTTCCATAGGATCCTTTAATTGACAAAGCTTGTCTCTGATTAAGTTTGTGGATGGTTTGAATGCCAACTAGTTTTATTCCTGCCTTGTTAAAAATTCTGTGTAAGGTGGTGTCCGAGGTTCCTTCCTTGTATGGAATTACTACTGATGAATGAAATATAATTTACGTTGAAAAGAGTCTAAATGAGGTAAACGAACCGCTTTTAGTGCATTGACAATACCAATAGTCATAACTAGACGTGACTAGATTCTTAAATCTTCTGTCAGTGTACAGCTAACTCTAAGCAAATACCAAGCTAAAGTAGATAGTTGAACTGTCCACACTGTGTAAAAACATTATTAGACAGAAGACCAGTAGTTTAGCGAAGAGTCTCTTTTAGGCGGCAAATTCATTTTCATAGATGTGTTTGGTTTGTAGGGATTTGGTTGGTTAAATACCAATGAGATGCTCACTGGCGACTGGCCCTATTCAGGTAGGTAGTTACCTGGGTTCCAGTGGGAAGTCGTGACCAGTAGGGTGCAGCGGGTCGGGTGTGAGGACAAATACTCGCCGAAGACATTGGCTAGAGGTCGCGCTATGTCGTGAATTGGTAGAAGTTAGAATTCGAGAAACATTGGATCGGGTCCCAGTGGCTTAATGGTCTACGAGCTCGCTAGCCTTGTAACCGGAAGGTCCTGGGTTCGAATCCCGGTGGGTGCGTACTGCTGAAGAGTCCCAAACAAGGACGAAACAGCTGTCCAGTACTCCCAGGTTTTCCAATGGTTCTCTAACTAATGTCAGCTCATGATGAAATCCTGAAATCGCATATTTATATGGTTGTGTTTGTATGTGTGTGTGTACATTAAATTCACCAAACGAAAATACAATTAGTAAGTTCAGATGAATTGGATGTTGATATAAGAAGGCAGTAACAAAAGTGATGAATTGTCACATACGATTGTTAGAGAAGAGTTACGTATTAACATAAATAGTCTGATGAAAGAGTTGTACTCAGGCTGCACATGGAAACAAAATAACATACAAAATTACTCAAGAGTTTTAAGTAGTTAGAAAAAATAAGCATAGAAACAAAAGTTAAGTCAAATCAACAGAGTTGTTACCATGATAGCAAAAGTGGTTGAATAATCTTCTTTTGTATGCGTCGTTCTGGTTCTTCTAACTGAATGGCTAAAGCTTCTGAAATTCAAAGAAGACGGAAACGTATTGTCTTTGGCGTAGGTTGTTCTTCACTTTGTAGATTACTTTGAAGGAGGCGTTTGTTGAGATGGAATGACCAGTGGTGGGTGACAAGATGTTCGATTATTGCACTGCTTATACGGCCACTACATCTTCTCAGCAGCCACACTGGACAGTGTTATTTGACCTTTTTTGACAGGATGCGCGTTGAATGACCGATCTACCTGGCTCCACAGTAACAGGTGAACTGATATATACACATGGAAGTGGTCAGATGCTGGATCTTGTCCTTTGGGCATCTGCAGATCAGAGGGCGACCGGAGAACACTACTCTCAATGTAGCCGCAAAGAAAGTTCTTCTTAAAGAAGTGGAAATTATCCTCCTTAAGGACATCACTGGGTCGGTCACCTTTGAAGTCGAGGTTCATATAAAGTATTTTTTTTGTCACGGATGGTGTCTCTTGCTTTTGGATTTTCTGTTTGATGTTTTTGTCTATGAATCTTGGTGGATAACAGTTTTGTATGAAGATTTCTTCCTGGAAGTGAAGTTCTTCTTCCAGGGTATCAGAGCTGCAGACTCAAGCATTATTCAAGAGGTGCCAAGAAAGTCTTGTCCTGAGAAGAATCATTACACCATAATTCCCTTGCGTTTTGAGTGAAACATAGGGCTTCAATAGCATATTTTCATTTTGTTCTATTCTCTACTGTCTTATGTAGCTGGCTACACGACAAGCTTTCGTCTGTTCATCACACAACACCCCTCTAAATCACTTTCTGATGTCATATTAGTTGTCTCACATTCGAGTTCCACTCGACGGTTTGCATCGCGAGTGATGTTACTCAACGGTTTCTTCGATTTTCTTAAGTATATTTTTAGGGCAGTAGTTTGTTGGTTAATTGGTGGAACTGTAGTGACAGAAGGCAAAAGTCAGACAACAGATCGTTTATTGAGAAAATCAGCAGATATTTATAGATTTCTATGTACATTATTATTCGTTATTTTAACGGAGAAGCAGCGTCTTCTGATTGGTTGTTTTCTCGCTGAAGGTTATTATGTACTGCTTGTGACCGTTTCTTAGAAAGTTAAGCCGTATACCTGCGAATCGTATTTGCACACGTTAAGTTTACTCTGATTGGTTGGTGATTTCCTCAAGGTTTAGCTTTGCTATTGTCTTTTTTCATGACCCTGATTCGGGGCGTGAACATTGACGTAAATTGTTGTCTACAATTTCTGACTTGCCGCCAGCTCTCACCACAAAACGACGAGTTGGGTGTGAGTCAAAAGGTGGCATGGTGAAGATCATACAAGAGGAGGAGGAGGCGAAAGCTCATGAGTGATTGTGGATCCTGCTAAAAATAACCACTGACAACAAGATGAAATATAAATGTGCTTCTGAAGCCATATAATCCATTAGGGATCCAAAGGTTAATAATAATAATAATAATGTATCATTGATTCTCATGACAGTTAAGCACAATCCGTAGTGATGATCTCAGTGAAATGATGCATGATCTGGTTCAGCAGTTGGACTACATAGGTCAGGTAGTGTAGAGTCAGTGTCATATTAGTAGTTTGGAGGCCTATTAGTTCGAGTCCCAATCTAAGTTCCAGATCGTCGTTTGCATCCTCAATTCTATTACTTCTAGGAAAATACTTTAACTCCTAGTGTAACAACAGAAGACAAGGGGCAGGCAACAGATTGTTTATTTAGGAAAACAACAGATATTTACAGATTTTCATGTACATTATTATAAATTATTGTAAGCAAACAAACAGTCTTCTGATTGGTGGTTTCTCATTGAACACTAATCTTTCATCTCTTTGTGGCTGTTTCTTGAGGTCCAGATTATCTATCTGCAAATTGTATCCGCCTACGCAAAGTCTGCTGTGGTTGGATGTTGAGTCAGTTTTTGTTCTTATTTTTCTCATGACCAATATTGGAGACGTACACATTGACGTAAATTACTACCTATCGATTTTGGCTAGCAGCCAGCCCTCACTACACTATTATTCAAGTATGGTTAAATTTCTCATTTCTTGTTACACTTGACTGACACCTGCTAACTTGACGTGCAAATGGTCGGCCTTGTATATGGAAATGACCCAATACTGACGGGAACTAATGTTCCTGCAGATCCTACCATGCCAGAAATGTTGTTAGGATAGAGGTTAAACTAAAAACAGTTACTGGCATATTGTAGGATGTTTACACTAAACTAAGGATATAAGGGGAAACTTGGCGTGTAACAAAAAGGATTTCCATCAGGATACTGCAGACTTTCACCGACAGCTGCCCACTTTGCTGGCTGGCTCCATTCTGAAGATCAAATGGCCAGAAAGAATAGGCACAAAGAAGCTATGGCAATAAACAAACAGGCAAGGGCCGATCGCTCAACAAACATGTAAGAGAAAATTGAGATAGATTGGGCATACATTGAGGTAGCCGCCGAATGACATTGCACGCAATCCAGGCCATTGCTCGATTGGAATCCCAACGAGAAGCGACGATTGGGTCGTCAGTGCGAGGGTGACACGGAGGTGATCGTGAGAGGAGGTGATGAAAGATTATGGGAAACCGTGGACCCAGCTGAAGAGGAGGCAGAGAATACAATAACGTAGAGATTTGCTGTTGAAGACCTATGTTCCACTCGGAACCCAAGGGAATAATAATAATAATAATAATAATAATAATAATGCTCTGGGAGCAAAGGTGTATTGCTGAGGAACAGGAATGTAACAGCAGTAAGGTAACTGTTCCCTCAAATAACCAGCATGCCAAATATGCTTCCTATCCTTTTTGGAGGGGATTGGAGTTAGAAGAAGTTGACCCCAAAGATCGTACATCCCGACTTACCCGACGGCGGTCCGTAACCGTGATAATATGTCAATACGAACATAATTCTAGACAGCACTTCAAATAGGCCGTATGTGGCTGGCCTCAAGAAGTTGTACCCTGGGCTGTGAGGTCAAGCAACACTTATTGTCTTTCTGTTACAAAAATACTCCAACAAACTGAATTTTTACGAAACACAAAAGGGAAATAAAGCAAGGGAATGAATATAAAGCACCACTTACGAGTTCACATGTTGTTTTAATATACGTCTATTAACATTACGCATTACAGAATAAATGACAAAATGTTCTCTAACTGTTAATTGTGGCCATATTGGATTATACTGTGGACAGAAACCGATTAGACCATTTTTAACAGCAACTGAATTCGGGACAAGTTTACCTATCTTTGGATTAATTACACCAACCTATAGAAATTAAAAAAAACAATAAGGCAAGGAGAGAAAATCAACGTATATCTGCCGTACGCAACGTCAAGTCCACAAATGTATTCTGGAACATTGTCCAGCTTGGTTAGCTTGCCAGAGGAGAAAAGAAGAATAGTAGCAGCTCCATCCTCGAACACCTTGTCAATAACTCTGGACATCTAGCACACCCTACCCCAGCCACCCTGCATGAATGCTTCACAGTGTCATACAGAGTCTCTCAATATCGTACAAAGGGACTTCGTATACACCATCTGTACATAGCTGAAGCATTAGTTATTTGGGAGCTGAAACCGGACCTCTGCATTCAAAAATGCTACATACACTCACTCGCCTCACCGTGTCCAGAGTAACGTTCTTACTATAGTTTCACTTTTTATTATGTAAGTTTACTATTATTTGTTATTTTTATTACTATTATTATTATTATTTCCATCATCCGTATTTTATTGTCACTGCGTTTTCACACAGATTTTATGCAAAAACACTTTATCGTCTTCCCACTACTTCCTGTTCATTCTACACGAGCTTGTTGATTAGACATTTTCGCACACGTATTACGTCATCCCAACTTCTGCCCCTTTCTAACTTCCAATTAGTCACCCCATCTAGACTGCACTTTACATTACGTAATGCTTTTCTCGTGGATAAATCTTTCCAGTATCTGATTGATTGTCTTATGAATTCTTTGTTAAATATAATTACCATTCTACAGGTTATGAAAATGAATCACCGTAAAGAAAATTTTCTTCGCTGTTCACGTCTTCTTTTTCTTATGACTCAATACATGAGGGTATATTTCGTTCCGCTCCCAGGTTCTCCAGTGGTTCTCTAACTGATGTCAGCTCACGGTCAAATCCTTCATGCAATACAACAAAATCCCTACAAAACCAATACTTGAAAATTAATCTGATGCTCACTAGCGACTGGCCCTATTCAGACAGTTCACCTGGAGTTCTAGTGGGAAGCCGTGACCAGTAGGGTACAGCAGGTCGAAGATGAGGCAGTAACTCACCGAAAAAGACATTGCGAAGTGGTCGCGCTATGTCGTGAATTGGTAGAAGTTAGAATTCAAGAAACATTGGATCGGGTCCCAGTGGCTCAATGGTCTACGAGCTCGCTAGTCTTGTAACCAGAAGGTCCTGGGTTCGAACCCCTTGTGGTGGGTGCGTACTGCTGAGGAGTCCCAAACTAGGACGTAACAGCTGTCCAGTACTCCCAGGTTTTCGAGTGGTTCTCTAACTGATGTCACCTCATGATTAAATCCTCCATGTAATCAAACAAAATCCCTACAAAATTAATACTTGAAAATTACAATATATGTGTAAAACTTGGGCACTACTGCGGTAGTAAGTAATTTCATACTATGAATTAAAAGTCAATCTGAACGAAGAATATTCTTTTCAATAATTTCTCTTCAAGTTCTTACAATTTTTATAAAATATAATATTTGTGGTCGTTACAATAAAGATAGCCAGGTATGCGGCGGATACATTTTTAACGTAGAATAACAGATTAGTTATGGGGTGTCAAAACAAATAGTCATATTTGTGTGACAAACGTGCTAGGCCGAAATCGATTAGAAATATTGTAAAACGGGAGACAATGGTGGTGATTAATCATAATGGAATTGTAGAGTGTAGGGTAGGAAAATTGACAATTCAGATCAAGGTTATAAAAGGTGTCAGGTGAGTGGCTAGTACAAAGTGGTCTGAGTTAAACAGGAGATAGTAAGATTGGAATGAGAGGTTCATAGTGAGATTCTATCCCAACGTTTAACCAGGGCGATCAAGAAAACTTTCTACTCTGCACGTCTGTGTCTATCCTTCACTAGCCGTCTAATGTTCACCCAGCAACTCAAAGATGTCTCACCTAACCTTAGCTCTTCTTCTTTATGCATTTACCATTTCAACTATTCCTGTGGTTCAAGTTATATAGGGTGCACGATTAGGCAGGTTCGTCTACGGGTTCGAAAACACTTACCAGCTTGGTTCAGCAGGGGGGAAATTAAGTGCATAAAAAGCTCTATCCTGTCACACCTGGTCGATACTGGATATCGCATCGATGTCAACACAGCTTTCAGGGTTATATACCGAATCCCGAAGTCGTTATCACGTACAGTTCGCTTACGTCTCCGACACATAGCTGAAGCTGTTGCAATAAGATCGACTAAACCGGAACTGTGTATCCAAAAAGAACACGTCCAGACGCTGTTCCTACCGTGGCCAACCTTGGATTGAAGATTTTTCTTCTCACCAAGAGTACTCCATCCCCTTAACCCCCTTGGTTTTTTTTCTTTCTTTTTACTTTGCTTTCGCTGACTTACACCATCTCTGGCGTAGGCGTGACATCCGGTTATCAACCAAGGGACGTGTGTACTGCTCATCAGTTCGCTCCGTCCTTCTCTATGGCTCTGAAACATGGCCAATACGCGTTGAAGACATGAAAAGGTTGACTGCTTTCTATCATAGATGTCTGCGATCTCTGTCTCACGTTAGGTGGTTTCACAAGATAAGTAATGTTGACGTTAGGCGTAGAGTGTTAGGCAAAGAGGGAAAATCAATCGACGAGGTTATAAAGTTACATAGACTAAGATGGCTAGGTCACGTGGTGCGCATGCCTAACCACCGCCTCCCCCGACGGGCATTGTTAGCTGATATAGGTTCAGGTTGGAAAAGAGCCAGTGGTGGCCAAACAAAAACATGGCATCAATCCATGAAATCCTTGACAGTTAAACTGAGTCAGGTAGGGAGATGCAGACTCCCGGGTTGGGGCCCTCGAGACTCTAGGAATCAATGGCTGGAGACAATAGGTGACATGGCTCAAAATCGTTGTCAATGGCGCACATGTATTCAATCTCTGTAATCTTTCATATTCCTTTCTACCATTACCCATACTGTTTCACTCCTATATTTGTCAAACTCTATTAATTCTCTCCACTCATCTTCTTGTCTACCTCTGTGTGCTATTTGGAACGTGGCAACTCGAACTGCTGCACTTCGGTGCCAAGTTCTATGTTGAATCCAGACAGAGACAGACTTTGCTTATTATTATAAATATTATTATTACAGTTATTATTATTCGTCATAATTTATGCCCTTTATGCAAACATTCCCTCAATACTATCGAATTTTCATTTATACGGACTTATTATTGGTGATATTATCTGTTTTCTCAATATATGCCTTCACCTGTTTCATTTAACATATTCGTTATCTCACTATGAACCTCTCATTCCAGTCTTACTATCTCAACTGTTTAACTCAGACCACTTTGTACTAGCCACTCACCTGACACCTTTTATAACCTTGATCTGAATTGTCAATTTTCCTACCCTACACTCTACAATTCCATTAAAAATGATTAATCACCACCATTGTCTCCCGTTTTACAATATTTCTAATCGATTTCAGCCTAGCACGTTTGTCACACAAATATGACTATTTGTTTTGACACCCCATAACTAATCTGTTATTCTACGTTAAAAATGTATCCGCCGCATACCTGGCCTTTATTGTAACGACCACAAATATTATATTTTATAATTGTAAGAACTTGAAGAGAAATTATTGAAAAGAATATTCTTCGTTCAGATTGACTTTTAATTCATAATATGGGAATATTTCACACTATCCAATTTCATATTAGTTTGTTTATTAGATGTATCACACAGTCACTGTGAAACAGTATTATTATTAACTGGATGACACAGTTTCGAACAAAATTTATTACTGTTCATAATCATATCATATCAATTGTAATCACACGACTCTGAAACTTGAGTTTTACAGTTTTCTTTGTCCTCTCCTATTTATCGTCGTTGGGGTAGTAGAATTCTCCAGATGTCTGGCTAGACAGGTGTTGAATCATTCCTATTACATGTATTGGCAGTTGATTCGATAAACAAACTAGTAGAACAGGGGCAGCCAGAGCAGCTGAACATAAAAACGTAGTAAAATCTAGATTGATTGACCCGAAATCTAGAGAATTGTTCAGTTATAGTACTCACTACATGCAGTTACACACAGCCATACAATAGGATGGGATAGGATGACAGTTTTAAAATCTAATGTCACAGGGTGGAGGGAGGGAGATATTGATAACAGAAGCTTTGTTTATCGATTCAACTGCCAGTACATGTAATAGGAATGATTCAACACCTCTCCAGGCGGATATCTGGAAAATTCTACTATCCCAACGACGACAAATAGGAGAGAACAAAGAAAACTATAAAATTAAAACAATTAGTCCCTTTGATAAATTTGAATAAGGCATTAAGAAGACAAATTTCGCGAGAAGATATCGTCATTTCGTAGTCTCTTTGCAACCGCTTTACAACTAACATGGTTAACAGTGATAAAATAAAGTTCGTGAAAATTACTCAGTTAAATAAAAACAAAAATACATACTAATGACCAATCATATTTAGATAGGTCATGTAGTCCAAGAGCGACCAAATTATGCAGCTGACAGCTCAAAGACTTCGGTCAGCCATCAAATGCACATTCTACGCCGCCATATCTCTTTTTCTCACATGCCGAACATTTTCAATCCCTGTTTCTACCCACGATTAAAGAACGAAATTCTGTAGACTCTACTTCAAACTGTATCTACAAGTTCACCTGCAGCTGCGGTGACACCTATTCAGGTAGAAACAATAGAATGTTCTAATGTGGTCGTCGAGAAGAACATGTTCCAAAATGGCTACTAAATGATATCGAAAATCCTAAAGCGATTAATCTTAATAGAAATCCAGTATCATCCACTGCAAAACACTCATTAATGTCTGGTCACAAAATCAATATTAATGACTGTTTCACAATTATTTCACATCACTCTAATTCCAGGTTGGTTATTGAAGGTGATGGAAGCACTTTGGGGGATTAATCACATACAGCCTAAACTGTGTGTACAAAAATCAATACTACCTTATTCAAAACTATAAAACTCAAGTTTCAAAGTCGTGTGATTATAATTGATGAAGTCATTATGAACCATAAATTTTGTTCGAAACCTTGTCATCCAGTTAATAGTAATACTCAAGTGTTGGTTTGTAGGGATTTGATTGGTTTCAGGATTTCATCATGAGCTGACATTAGTTAGAGGTCCACCGAGGGAGAGGGCTCTCGAGTGGTTGTGCCACAGGTTGATCCTGCATGCCGTTCTCGTCTCGCAAGAGGCGGGGATGCGTGTGTTTGGTTCTCCTGAAAACCAATGCCCAGTCAATGGGTGTATCGTGGTGTAATAATAATACTGTTTCACAGTGACTGTGTGATACATCTAATAAACAAACTAATATGAAATATAATTACCATTGTAAAGGTTATGAAAATGAATCGTCGTAAAGAAAATTTTCTTCGCTGTTTACGTCTTCTTTTTCTTATGACGCAATACACGGGGGAATATTTCGATTAATTTAAATATTTCAGGATTTCGATCATGGATTAATATCGATTGGAAAACCAGTGAAAACCAACAGGGAGTACTGGATAACTACCTCCTTTCTAGTTAAGGATTCACCGACAGGGTTCGAACCCAGGACCTTCCAGTTACACTGTAAGTCAGGAGAACATTCAGCCACAGAGAGTTCAACTATGTGGCCCACAAATTCCAACTTCCACCCATACACAGCATAGTACGACTGGCACCAGCCAATGTCATCAGTGAGTGTTTACCGTTACTCCCAGACGAATGGACCCCACTAGTTACGACTTCTCAATAGAACTCCAAACAACTTCATCCTGCAACCAGTCACTAGGAACCATCAGATTAGTTTTCAGACTAATTGCTATTATGATAATTATAAGACATGATTTAAGAGAAAAGCAAACAAACAGAAATACACGAGAGAAAGAATAATTACATGTGGTAAAATGAGAATTTAACAGATCTCAGAGTTCACAATGAGTGGATACATCCACGCTATTGAGAAAAAGTTTGACCACTTGACGCCTAACTTGAATATTTCTCACCAATTAACACAGGATGTCGATAGAACGCAGACACCTATGTGATCAAAGACAGCTCGGCTAGTTAGCTAGCTAGCTAGCCAGGCTTTTCATATCTTCCACTTTCAATGGCCATGAAAAAGAAGAAGAAATATCACCCATTAGGATAAAATAAAATATCAAATTATAAAGTAAAAATTAAACAGCTTACTTCACCGAATGTTTGATTTATTATACTTGATAGACATTCGAGTAAGGTTGATTTTCCAGCACCACTTGGACCAAGTATACCAAACATTTCACCATGTCCAACCTGAATAATAATAATACATAATTAGGGCTTAAATATAAAGGTTAGTGAAAGAGTTTATATGCGTATAATTCCCTAACGGTAAAACTCTATGTGATATCCTGTAGATTATTACTATTAATACTACTTTTATTGTCACATTAAGTTCCGAGTGGAACATGGAACTTCAAAGTACATCTCAATTGCCTTTTGTTCTCTGCAGTACTTTTCATTTGATGCCACCAACAATTATACACCTCATCCAACAGTTGTACGACAATGCTGCATCCCAAGTAATCCATCCAAAACGGGAAACACACAGAATCTCTTGAAGAAGTGAAGACGGGAGTAAGACAAGCAAGGCTGGCTGGCTGCCTACTATCTCCAATGGAATCCTAATAAAAAGTGACGAGGGGGGCATCAGTGAGACGGCGGTGACATAGAGGAGATCATGTGGCCAGAAGGAGATGAGAGATTATGGGAAATCGTGAACCTATCTCAAGAGGATGGTAGAAAATAGGACAAAGTGGAGATGTACTGTTGAAGCCTTATATTCCATTCGGAACCCAAGGAAATGATAATAATAATACTGTTCAGCTCGTAATCTTGGCATCCTGGGTTTCATCCCAAATGCCTGAGAACTGATGAAGACTTCTAAACTCAAACGAAACAATTGTCAAATACTTTACACATTCACTAACTGACTTCGATTCTTCGTAATGAAATTGGAAATGAATCAAAATTACCACCTACAAGACTCAAACCCTGAAGGATATTCATCAGTCTTTCATAGATAATTATCTTCATAAATCATTTGACAGCTAATTCTTTAGGATAAGAAAAGCAAATAATTAACAATAATAATGATAATAGCAACTCAGACGCATCTGCATGCAATTACCATAAATGAAACGCCTTCAATAGCTACTTTAGCATGTTGGATAGGTCTATTTTTTGAATTAAACAGGAGAAGTAGTCGACGAACGTATGACAATGCACCGGTTAAATAAATTTTTGTTAAATTGTATACAAATGCTACAGTATTACTCTGAAATAAAAAAAAACAAAAAGAAAAGAATATTGGGTTGGATTATTAGTTCATTAATATATATATATATATATATATATATATATATATATATATATATATATATATGTATAATTCAATTCACAATTTACGAAACACGGTCCTTCAGTGTTTAGACCATTATTATTACTGTCTGATGTGAGTGGCAACCAACTACTCATATCATCCAGTCAGTAGTATATACCGGCATTAAAAATTGGCTACATACTTTGAGTTAGTATGCAGTAAAAATTAAACTAAAGCATTAGAGATATTTGTTTGATGGGGGCTAACAGTGATATGTAGAATGTGCGTTTCGACCCATTTGGGACTCTTCATCTGGATGTGTCTGCTTTCACCACCACCACCACCGCCACGCCCTAGTGAGACTCAAACCTAAATATCATTATTTAAAACACCACAGGATTAGTGGTATTCTCTGAGGTTTCTCAAGCAAGTGAAGTGTGATGTAGTATAGTGAATAGAGATATTACAAATCATATAGTTTAAGAACTTGATTTCTAACAGGCAAATCAATGAACTAAACTCAAGTACCTTAAAAATTCACATTGAGTCATATGAAAAAGAGAAAACGTTCAGCGAAGAGACTCTTTTCGACGGCGAATTCATTCACATATCTGTACAATCGCATTTACATACAATTATTTGTGTGTGTGTGTGTGAGTGTGTACATGAGGTTTGTCAAGATTAGATAATTAATCAGGTAATACAAGAATGATCTAATATAGAAACAAGTTTAATTAGACAACAGCTCAAATAAGACTGAGTTAGTAAGTTAGATGACATAATATAATTGACTAAAATGTTTCAACTTAGGTCAGGATAGGAACAGAAGTAATTATAGGTAGAAACTAAGTAAAGGTGGAGTAGAGAAAATGCCATTTAAATTAGGACTGAAGTTGAGCAGATAAATTGAATGACGTAACATATAAATGACTAGAAATTGAGCGTTGGTCAAGTCAATCACAGTGGTAATAAAGTGTAGAAATTAAATCGAGTGGAAAGTTGAAAATGTAAAATAATACAGTTGGAAAGACAAAATAATACTAATGAAACACAGTTTTGTTCAGCGAAGAAATTTCTTTTCAACGACTTCATTTTCAAGCTGTACAGTCGTATTTATATTACAGAAAAAGGGTTATTAAGTGAGTGGCACTAAATAATTGCTCAGTCAATGTACGTATATGTGATAAAAGTTATAAGGGGTAGAGTTGAAGTGGATAAATTACAAAAATATTAAAGATTGTTCTATAACAAAAATGTCAAGTGTTGTCTAAAAATTTTGAAAATTAGGAGTACGATTACGATAAGAATGAAGATGTGAAGTGACGTGGAAAGAATTCAAGTGGTAAAATAAAAGAAAATAGAAATAACATTACTATGACCAAGGTAAAGAAAGGGGTTTGACGAAACGTTTTTGAACACATAATTTAGGTTTCTGTTCATGTATAGCTAAAGCTTCGGCTAGCTATGCATAAGTGAAGAAAACGTAAACTTTTGGATCGATTCGATTTTGCCATGTAGATAACTTTGAAAGATGAATCACGTGGGGCTAAATGACCAGACTCTAACAGGTGATCACAAATAGACGACTTTGCAGTTCTACGTTCGCCTTTCATTAACCAAACCGGATAGTGTTCAGCTACACGTTTTCGGAGATTACGCTTACAACGTCCAATATAAACAGCTCCACAAGAGCAAGTAAAAGAGTAAATGCACATAGATGTGGACAAAAGCGGTAATCTATCCTTGACGCATTGTCTAATCATATTTCGACTGGTAAAAACGAGTTGCAGGTCAGCTGCAGGAAAAGTGCGTTTAACACATTTAGATAAACGATTTTTAATCAATTCTGAAATGGTGTCACCTTTGAATGCAAGACTCATAAACAACTTTTTCATCAATACTAATGAAGACAGAGAAAGAAAGAAAGAAATAGGATTTACCAGCTGGATATTAAGATAGATTACGTCCCCATTGCAAGTGTGTTGTGATTGAACGAACTTCTTCTGTATACAGAATTCAGGGCTTAGCAAGTGAATTAACATTGCTTCTGCAGTTTGAAGAAGTTTGACTCGTACACTTTAAATTAAATTCATTATCATATTCTAAAGCATCGCCTTCAGTAACTTCCAGCTCAAACCAAATATAATGACTAGAAGGCTATTGTAAGATCAATTCTATTCCCATCCTTGAATCAAGTCAACCTGTCCCGATCAGCCTAGCGTTGTTGCAACCCAATTATCCATGCCTAACGTATCTATCTACCCTTGTTTAATGAACTGTGTGTATGTGTTTTTACCTTGATCCGTTTAGTCAGACAGTTGAACTCATGGCCGAATCAGAGTATTTTGTGAACTGTTATTTTTGCTGACCTATGTCTAACTTTGTACTATTCTGTCGAGTTTATCTTATTTATTGATTTTTCATCTGTATTTTCCTACCTGGTTAAGTATCCAATTAAATTCTATCTTTGTGCTTATGCTCGGTCTATCTCTCTTAAACGCTCTCTGTTTTATGCCATGCCTTACTTGGATTCATTCTTCTACTGACTGCTTACCTGAACGGTCGTGTCTGGTTCCGGCTAGTTCGCAGTCTTGGCTTTAACGTTATTCCGCTCTGATAGCGGTACCTTGCTTTCTGTTAAGCATTGTGCTTTGTACTCTTGAAACCGTTAAGGTTTGTTGTATATATATAATTATTGATTTGTTTATTAATAGTACCGTAGAAACAGTGACCGGTTTCTTGTTTGTTCTGGACCGGGATAGCCTTTATCTACGCGTGACTTAATTTCAAGCGATATTGCGCTTACACACCCAATGCCTCCATTTTAATGTAATTCCATCAAGAATGAATTGAATCTTCACGAAGTTCGATGACTAACTTGTTACCAAGGCATAGTCTCGTCGACTTATAGTATGCAGATGACACGTATGTGTCGCATCGCCTTAAGCGCTCGACTTTCAGTCAATACGTCAAGAATTCGAAATCCACCCACTCCCAAGCCAAATATCCCGCCTTTTACTCTCAGTGTAACGACAGAAGACAAGGACCAGTCAACACAGATCGTTTATTGAGGAAATCAAGAGATATTTATAGATTTTTATTATTAGCAGAGAAATATCATCTCCTGATCGGTCGTTTTCTCGCTGAAAGTTATTCTGTCATCTCTTTGTGGCCGTTTCTTTGAAGATTAGATCATATATCTGCGAATCGTATTCACCCACGGGAAGTCTGCTGTGATTGGTTGTTGAGTTCCTCAAGGTTAGGCTTTGTCTTGTTTTTTCTCATGACCAAAATGTGGAACGTGAACAGTGATGTAAACTGTTGTCTAACAATTTGGCCAGCAGACAGCTCTCATCACACCAGGAACCCCAAAATGCAATTTGTCCAAAGAACTATACACTAAATCGAAACGCTTAATGGACTCCTGAAGATCACTTCATCAAATCTGCTTTCCAATTTCTGGAGAAAATCAGAGACATTCAAATAGATGGTCAAGAAATAATGATATCCTTCGACATCACAGCATTATATACCTCAATTGGACAGAAACTAGCAAATGCGACCATGGAAGAATTATTCAGCAACGACAAACACCTGCTACAACAATCAAAAATGTAACACACAAGTTAGATGGAATGGATAAACCTATGCCTAACAACATACTTCCAATTCAACGGCCAAATATATGAACAAGTCAAAGGAACACCCACGAGATCGCCAATATCAGGTTTGATTGCAGAAGCAGTGATGCAAAGGCTCGAAAACATAATTCTACCAAAGATCAAACTCAAGATTTGGATACGTTACGTAGATGACACATTTGTAATAATCAAAAGATACGAGTTGGGCGGAACTCACCCAACTTAATAAACAACGTCTTCAACAACATCAAATTCACAAGAGAAGAGGAATCCAAGAACAAAATCCCATTTTTCGACGCCTTAGTCAAGCCAACAACCACAGAGGAAAATTAGAACCTCAAGTTTATAGAAAATCAACTCACAAAGACCAAATCCTGAATTACAACAGCAACAATCCAAAAACACACGAAAAGAGTTGTATACAAACACTATTCAAGGGGCCAGTCAGGTCTCATTGCAGCAATCCTACCTTAAGGAGAATTGAAGAAAAATATCTCATGAGCGTTTTCAAAAAGAATGAATATCCACGGAACTTCATCAAAAAGCATCTACTCCTAAGCACATAAACCAACAAAATCACCTAACTCGTCTGGCTGTGTGTCAACCAAAAGACTCAACAGAGAAAGAAAATAAAACCAACATCATCTACAAAATAAATTATTTTTTTCTTTCCTTCACGTTCCCCAGCTGAACATAGTGCTTCAAGCTAGTGGCTTGAAGTTTCTGTAGCAGGATGGAGTTGCTAGCTCCATGCCCAACCTTTCTTCTTTACCAGCATTACTTCTGGTTTAGCGAGGTAAAGGAGTGCGTCGACGGCCGGGGATCGAACCCCGGACCATATGCATGGTTGGCGAGCGCCCCAACCGCTATGCCACCGATGCACTGTCTCTGTGTGCAGTGATATGAGGGAGTGGAAGTCATGTTTTTGGCGGCTAGCTGATGATCATAGATACAAAGACAAAGCGGAGGGACGTCTACTTTGGACAATGCACTATTTTTCGCAGTTGTTACAATTTATTTCTCTAAAGTATTCGCTGTTAATTGCTTCAACCATCTCGATTGTAAACAAGCTTAATTCAAGTACGCACTGACTCCTCGGTTACAAGGTGGCTGGCTGTCTTCTTATCTTTTTAGGGTAGAAAACAATAACATACTGTTTTGAATGAGAAGTGCTCCACTTTGTTGCTAAAGCAGGGACTGGTGTGCCTCAATATGGGTGTGTACTTTCTCCATGCCTTTTTTCTTTCTTTTTGTATGACTTTCCATATTCTTCCAAAGTTAACTTCATTAAAACATGCCAATGATCTTACCACTTCTGTTCCAGTAGTTTCTGCAATGGATTATTCTTATATGATGAATAGATTCTTATCTGAAGTTAGTAAATGGTCTCACTTAAATGGTCTTAAACTAAACCTGAGACCGATCACTTCAGTCCAATCAATCGACGGGAAAATCAAAAATTCAGTTCAGTAATTAATATGACCCGTTGCACAAGAGGTGGCCAGCTGTCGTGGCCCAAGTGGTCTAGTGGATAACGCTTTGGCTGGTGTTTGAAACTATGGGTACTGGGTTCGAGCCTCGGTGGGAACATCATCACTCACTGAGAAATGCAGGTACATCCACTGGGTGACGAGTCCCAAATAGGACGAAATGCACGTTGTCCTGGATTCCACTGCCAGTCATCATCCACTAATTGTATACTAATTAAACTAAATCTATCTAAATATCATATTGTTGATTTTAGTTTCAGGTGTGAACAAGACTTGCGTGGACTGATTCAATCGCATGATTCTAGTATAATATTGACAGCACTGTGATAGGGAGTAAATCGAATATCTCTCATCTCGGGATCAATTGCTCTTCGAATCTCTGTTAGTCGTCTCATATCGTGTTGATTTCTAAGATGATTTTTTGTTTGACTTATTACATGAGGAAGAAGTTGAGACTTTCTGCTGACATAAATCAACTCAACCTCTTCTCTTACAATTTATTGTTAATTCATGTATTCTGTCCATTCTTCATTATGGATAAGATTTTATTTTGATAAATCACACAGTGTTGTTATACAGTAATATTTACTGATGGCCACGTTTTGAGCACAAACTATTGCCAGTCATAATCACATCAAGTAAATATTACTGTACAACACTGTTTGTGATTTATCAGAATAAATCTCATCCATAATGGAGTTATACTCTACCACCACCACCACCACCACCACCACAGTAGTGCCCAAGTTTTATATCTACCCATTCTCTATTTATTGTTCGCCCCAATTATTCTTCCCTAGACTTCTCGAAAAACAGGCTATCTCATATTACGTAGAACACTGAAGACTGTAAAAGTAGGGTTAGTTAGTGGTGTAACTGACATTACTGTCAATAGGCATTTCAGTTGACTAAAGTTAGGTGTTGTCTGTTACCGAACATCCACCCCCTACTTATTTACAAGTTTTCTCTTGTATCTCATTTTAATGGGGGGGGGGGGGAGGGGACAGGTGAAGCCAAAAGAAACCTCGTAAGAATTTACACTCGTATAGCTGTGGTGAAAGCAGGCTGCCAATTGGTAGACGTCAATGTCTAGGTCACTAATATTGGCTGTGAGAAAATATGAACAAGGCCGACTCAACAACCAATCACAGCAGACTTAAACGTGGGCAAATATGATTCACAGATAGATGGCCCCACTTTCCGAGAAACTCGAGAAACAACCAATCACAAGACTGCGTTTGTCTACTTGAATAAGCTCTAATAATCTACATTATATATATATATGTATATACGTGCTGATTTCCGTAATCAAAAGATGATCTGTTGCCTGGCCCTTGTCTACTGTTGTTACATAGCTATTAAATATAAAAAATCCAAGGAGTTTTGTGTGAAGAGAGAGAGAGAGTTAGGCGTCAGAAGAGAACTTATAAACTTTTTAAATCAGTAACTGAGACAGCAAAGTATGAGCAAAGATTATTATTATTATTACATGTATCATCCTTAATACTATCTACTTATACACTCATTATGTTTCCACCATCATTCCGTCTATAGTGATTTCAAGCATTGGTTTTGTAGGGATTTTGTTTGATTACATGGAGGATTTAATCATGAGGTGACATCAGTTAGGGAACCACTCGAAAACCTGGGAGTACTGGACAGCTGTTTCGTCCTAGTTTGGGACTCCTTAGCAGTACGCACCCACCACAAGAGGTTCGAACCCAGGACCTTCTGGTTACAAGGCTAGCGAGCTCGTAGACCATTGAGCCACTGGGACCCGATCCAATGTTTCTTGAATTCTAACTTCTGCCAATTCACGACATAGCGTGACCACTTCGCAATGTCTTTTTCGATGAGTTACTGCCTCATCTTCGACCTGTTGTACCCTACTGGTCACGACTTTGGTGCCTAGTGTGACGGCACTTCTCAAAGACATCAGGAATTGTGATTTGCATTTAACTGATAGTAATAACAGATATAATAGTTTTATTAGTTATTACTTACAGATTTCGGATGTCTTGTAAATTCATGAACTTTCTCAGTTTCTTTTCGTACCAGTGCTAATATATGCATATGTATACATATATGATACATAGATTATATAAAAAAGAAAAATATGTCAGAGAAAATATTATTAGTGTTAAAATTTTTTATTTTATTTTATTTTTTTTTAAGTATTGGTTTTTTTTTTTTATATTTTTGATTACAGCTTGATTCCACACCGTATTTTTAGTACAAGTATGGAATTCTCAGCATGGATATCGGTAGCCCAAAATCCGCAGGCCGACCATAGATAACAGGTGTGCGTCGGCCTGGGCTCGAACCCCGGACCATGTGCATGGTCGGCGAGAGTCCTAACCACTGTGCCACCGACGCATAAAATAAAATGGAATTAATTGTAGATAATCAATTCATAGATTTCATTAATGCTACTTGATTGGTGGTGAAAGGCGACTGAATAAGGTAGTATGAGTTTCATCTCAATTCTGACTGACTACTCATTACTCGGAGTGATTTTAGTTTTCTTAAATTACTTACCTTCACGGGGTTAACCATTCTAACGGCCTATGTAACTTGCTCACTCCACAGGAACAGTTAAATTAGTAGAGATACACATGGAAGAGATGAAATTAGGCAGCTTGTCTTTTACTCCCGAACAAAAAAGAGGAGTAGTTGTGAAGACACAACGTAATTCGGCAGCACGGAATGCTCTTAGCTTTACTGCATTTCTAAGGCACTGTGTTAGTATCTCGCTGATGTTGTCCCCAAGGAACTGCATTTGTAAGAATAAAGCATTTTTTAGGAACTGTTGGTACCTTGGGCTGCTTTGATTTTAGATTCATATTCTTACCAATCAACTTTGAAGGTGAAGAAAATGAGTATACTGAGAGTCAGCTGATGTAGGTTTTCTATATACACTTCCTCTTCTTAGTGTGCCATCCTGTGGAGTGAGCCAGTTACATAGGCTGTACAATTAGGCGTGTTTCTCATCGAATTTCCGAACATCACCCTGCCTGGTTGGTTAAGTAAAGGACAAACAAAATCTATTCGCATAGCGCTATTCTGTCTCACTCATCTTGTGGATACAGAACACAAGATTGACGTTAACCATGCTTTCAGGATCATTTACCGCATATCTAGGAATCTCAATTTTGCCTTTAGAGTTCGACTACTAAATATTGCTGAGGCTGACTGTTGGAATCCACATTAAGAAGCGTAATTTGTGCATCTAAAAGAAGCTAGTTCAGGCATTATCCTTACCCGCTTAGCCATCTAGGTTTGAATGATCCTCAATTTTTGTGAAATTTTCCTAATTTTAGTTGATACTCTATTTGCTACTATGTCTTTATTATTATTATTATTATTATTATTATTATTATTATTATTATTATAATTTAAGCATCTTTAATGAACTGTAGTAATTCCATTGTGATCTTAATTTACAAATCGAAATTATTTAAAAAAACACTAATATTGTTATTGACTACTAATCTGGAATATTCTATGTATATAGACATATGTGTAATGTAGAGCCAGAAGAGAAAATGATCAAAAAATGTATTCTTTGCTCAATTATTTTGTGTTTTATATACTGTGTGACTATATCAAAAATAAATTTTACCCATAATGGAATTATACTCAACCAACCACCACCACCACGACTACCACAGTGGACAAATTCTATTCTTTATACGTGTGTAGACATACTTACGTGGTAAATGTTTTGTCTTCATTTCACTTAATGGTCTCAATTGTTTAAGCACTTTATAATAACTTATTTTTCTTTGATGCGGCCGAATATGATGAATGTAAACATTTGTTCCGATAAATAGACCACTGAAAATGAATATTCGCACTAAATGCTTTAAAGGCGGAAAAGTACAAAGAATAGAAAAATAGAAAAATAAGAAGATAAATTAATACAATTCATGAGAATTTCTAACCAAAAACTTTGATTTTCTATTGACATGAAAGTAAAACCAAACCTATGTGCAGAAATTTATGCTTTTGTACTACACAAAGAAAGTGAAAACAAGTGTCTATATATATATATATATATATATATATATATATATATATATATATATATGTAAAACTTGGGCACTACTGTGTTTTCATTATTATTGTTCCCTTGGGTTCCTAGTGGAACATAGGGCTTCAACTGCATGTCTCCACTTGCCACTTCTGTCTTCCTTCTGTTGTACTTTTCACCTGCATCCATGTTAGTCCGTTCATACTGTTTCAACTCCTCTTCACACAATCTCCTCCCTGTCACCCTCGCACTGACGTCCCACTCGCCGCGTGCTTCCCTTTCGGCCTGGTTCCACTCGAGCAATGGCTTGACGCGCGCGCGATGTCACCCAGAGGCCTCCTCATCGAGTGAGTGTCTAATCCATCCATCTCCACTTTCTCCTGCATATTTGTTGGTTGGCGATTGGTTTTTTCCTGTTTTGTTTGTTCCCATAGTTTCTTGTTGGTGATTCTTCGCATCCCGGCCATATGATCTTCAGTATAGATCCAGCGAAGACAATTGTTGATGAAGGTCTGCAACAGGTTGTTGGAAATATTCTTTGTGACCCACCCGCCAAGTTTCTTATCCTCATAGAAGAACTGACTGACTTGACGTTTGTATTGAAAATCCGACTGAATTTTGTTGTTGATGTTGGGTGAGTGATGAAGACTCCCAGATTGATTTCAGGTTGATGAATGTGTTTCTAGCCTTCTCGATTCTCGACTTGACATCCTCGTCCGTTCCTCCTGTAGTGGAGATCACCACGGTAGTGGTAGTAGTATGTAATTCCAGAGATGGCTGTCGTGGTCCAAGTAGTCGAGTGGATAACACTTTAGCGTTTGAGACTACGGGCACTGGGTTCGAGCCTTGGTGCGAACACAATCCACCACTCACTGGGAAGCTCAGGTACATCCACTGGCTGACTAGTCACAAAGAGGGCGACATGTGCATATTGGTGGATTCCGCTGCTAATCCCCATCGACCAACTGACTTCAAGTTACATGATAGGACATCATCGAAGCATTGTGACAAGGAGGTGACATGTCAACCTGAAACCGAGAACTTAGGTCCAATCAATCAGTGGAAAAATCGAAATTGAATTAAATGAGTATAAACCTTGATAATAAATTTAATGCAAACATTAATATCAGTAAAAAGTTTGAGCATTGTGGATTACATCAAATAAACTATAATTATATTTCAATAGTTTACACACAATGATAGGTCTTGTTTTTGGTAATATTTCGAGCAAAATTACTGCCCGAACAAAACAATTCCAACAGTGGTGTGAACACGGGCAGTAATTTTGCTCGAAATATTACCAATAACAAAACCTATCATTGTGTGTAAACTATTGAAATATAATTATACTTTATTATTGAAAACAGTATATTCTTAGAAGCACCTGTCTTCATATTCCTTATTTCCTAACGGGTATTGCTCGTGAATTTTTTTCCTTTCACGTTCCCCAGTGGAACATAGGGGACCTTCAAGCTAGTGGCTTGAAGTTTCTGTAGCAGTGTTTATTTTACACGGTGGGGTTGCTAGCCTTATGCCCAACTTTTCCTCTTTACCAGCTTTTTATTTCTGGTTCAGCGAGGTAAAGGAATGCGTTGGCCGGGGATCGAACGCCGGACCATGTGCATGGTCGGCGAGCGTCCTAACCACTATGCCACCAAGGCACAGTCGTGAATTTACTCTATATTACTGATTATATGGTTGACGGCTGTTGACAGGAAGCCCTGAACCTAGTTATCGTGCTTGTTGATGAGGCGTATCTGTAACCTTGAATGAGCTCATGTACCTACACACTATCCAGTGTTGCAATTAGATAACCTACCACTGAGGTCTTCAAGCTCATGACTGATATTCTCCAGATGATCTAAACACTGAATAGCCATTTCGCTCGTTTGCGGTCAAGCCCATCAGCGGTGGACCACGTTTAGCTCAGTTCAGACAGCCGGATCAGTGGCATACAACTACTTATATCAATCAATCAGTAGTATACAGCTTCATGTAAATATGCTTGTTTTCTTCATCGCAATTTATGTTATCAAGCAGATTACATGCATTGTGATCTGAATGAAACCAGTTACCAAAGGAAACTGTGGTGAGGTAATCAACTCGAATTGTTGAGAATTGGTATTACAAGTTCACCCAAATGGCTAGCCAGAAATTAGGTGGTTTTAATTAATTCAACTCTCTGAACTGAGTCAGACAGGGTACAACGCTGATTAACTCTGCTTCAAACGAGCGGGACAACCGTCCAGTGTTTAGATCACTGCAGTCTAGCTAGCTAGAAGCACTAGTGGTTGATGTAAGTATTATCATTATTGCTCCCTTGCTCTTGGAGTGGAAGAACATAGAGCTTCAACAACACATCTCCACTTTCTTTATCTGACACTGTCCTCTTCAGCTGGCTGACTTCACGACTGCCCATAATCTTTAATCTCCTCCCCTAACTTGTATGGTCACTTCCAAGTCGCCATCACACTGATAAACCACTCGTCACTTCCCATTTGGATTCCACTCTAGTGATGGCCTTCGTCGCGCATGATGTCATTCGACGGCCTCCCTAATGTGTGTCCGATCAACCCATCGTCTGTTACCTGTTGGTTTTTCCCCAGCCAGAGTTCCTCCTTGATAATTCTTTCTGGACAGACATTTGATCTTCAGTATGGAGCCAACGAAGTGGGCAGCTGTTGATAAAAGTCTGTAACTTGTTGGAAATGCTTTTCGTGACGGACGTGCAGTGCAAGTTTCTGACCCGTATCGAGGAACTGGCACATTGGTATCGAAAATCTAAATCTTGTTCATCATGCTGAGTGAGTGAAGCAGAACATTTCCAAATTGGTTTCAGGTTGATGAAGACGTATCTCACCTTTCCGATTCTGTTTTTGACATCTTCATCATTTCCACCTGTAGTTGAAATGACGCATCCTAGATACGGTAAGGAAGTAAATTCTGTTAATTCACTCTCTTTGATGCTGACTGGTGCTGGTTGATGTTGCATTTGGTTGATCGGTTGACTATCTTCATCACCTTCATCTTCTCTACGTTCACCTGGAATCCTGTCTTCACTGCCTACATCGCCTCTTATGCCAATTTGTTGGTTTTCGCCTCTAAGTCTTCGATTTTGTGTGATATTAAACATAAATCATCCACGCACGATATTCAGATCTTCTCATGTCTTCTTATCGGTCAGTGCAGCGTATCCCTATCTTCCCACTCCCGCACACAGGCTCCCTCCTAATCCAGTACAACACAATTAAGAATATCATCGGTGGTGATAAGAAAACAGCCTTGTCTTACTCCTGTAATCACTTCGAATGCCTCTTTGAGTTTTCCGTTGTGGATCACCTGAGACGTGACTGTTGAATGACGTTGGCGAAGACTTGGGCACTGCACGCCGTAGTGTTGAAGTAGTTTCCAAATTACTTCTCGGTCACCAACGTTTGTCCAAAGCCTTTTCGAAGTCAATGAGGTTGTTGAATTAGATATTTGACTGTCATTCTATGCCTTGTTGTGTGATGACGATGCGAAGAGATCCAATTTGATCAGCACATGATTTGTCTTTTCTGAATCCAGCTTGTTCTGGCTGGCGGAGTTCTGTATCCAGTGCATCTTTTATTCTCTCCAGGATGATACGACTTAGTATTTTACTTTTCGTGGACAAGAGCACTATTCAACGCCAGTTCTTGCACAAGTGTAAGTCGCCCTTCTTCGGAAGCTTGACAAGGTAGTCAGCCTTTCTTCCAATGGGTAGTTACCTTTCCTTCTTTCCAGGCCTTTTTTCATAATGGCGTGGGAATATCCACTGCGGTCTCTGGGTCCGTTTTCAGTGCTTCAGGTGGGATTCTGTCTCGCACTGTTGCCTTCCCGGCCAGTGTTCAGTAGCTTGATCACACTCAATATTTCTGCTTTCTTTGGAGGACTGCTGTCCACTGGCAAGAAGTTCTTGCTAATCAGGTTCCTTTGAACATCTATTATATTGATGTGATTGATAAAAGACATTTCTGAGTCTTATCATTACATCACGTCCAACAGAAATGGAACACGAATAACTGGTGAACTCACATACAAACAAAGTCATAAGTGCATATATCCATCGAATGGGTAAATTTTAATAAAAAAAATTACTTACTATAGTTTGACTAGCTTTATTATGCTCATACTGTAATAGACGAGATAATGATGTGATATAATCGACATCAGATTTTCCAAATAAAAATACCTTCTCACATCTCAATCTCTGTGAGGAGAGAAAAACAAATATGCATATACAACAAACAAGGCGTTGTGAGTAATAATCAGTAATATTTTCAGAGAAATATAAATGAGAACGATAAAACATTTCACATTATAACACATATTACACAAAAAGACATTTCAAGCAGTCACCTTACTACGCATCACATTCTCCAGTAGACAGTTAATCCAGTCAAACGTTAAGGATAAGATGCCGCTTTTGGACACCTCAGTGTGTATTTATCAGTTTACTTGCTCGTGTGCAGCAAAGTATGTAGACCGTAAGCAACGTCAATTCCACAAACGTATTCTAGAACAATGTTCAACTTGGCTAGCTAACCAGAGGAGAAAACAAGAATAGTAACAGTTCCATCCTCGAGTACCTTGTCAACTCTGAACATCGAGCGCCCTCCCCCTCATCACACTGCATGAATGCTTCACAGTGTTGCACAGCCCCTCAATATCGTAACAAAGGCAATTCTCTTATGCTATTTGTACATAGTTGAATCATTAGCTATTCGGGGTCTGAAACCGGACCTCTGCATTCAAAAGTACTACATACATTCATTCGCCCTACCGTGGCCAGAGTAACGTTCTTACTATAATTTCACTTCCTTTATTATGTAAGTTTACTATCATTATTGTTTTTATTATTATTATTACTGTTTTGTTACCATTATTATTCTCATCATCCATATTTTATTATCACTCTATTACTGTTTATTAATAACATTACGTTTTCATACAGAATTTATATAAAAACACTTTATCGTCTTTCCACTAGTTCGTGCCCATTCTACACGAGCTTATTGATCAGTCAATATCTCACACTTATTACGTGATGCCAACTTCTGCTCCCTTTTCTAATTTACGGTTAGTCACCCCTTCTAGATGATACCTTGCATTAAGTAATGCATTTTTCGAGGACAAATTTTTCCAGTATCTGATTGGTGGTCTCATGAATTCTTTGTTAAATGTAATTACGACTGTACAGCTTATGAAAATGAATCATCGAGAAGAAAATTTTCTGAAAATTAATCTGATGCTGGCTAGTGACTTGCTACAGGACAGAGTTTCCTGGAGTCCTCGTGAGAAGTTGTTACCAGTGAGGTCTATCCACTCAAGTGTGAGGAAGAAGTTCCCACCAATGACATTGGTTGGTGGTCGTGCTAAATCACGAATTGGTAGAAGTTCGAATTCATAGGCCCCTGAATCGAGTTCCGGCGGTGGCTGATTGGTATATGAGCTTGCCTTGTAACCGGGAGGTCCTGGGTTCGAACCCCTGTGGTGGGTGCGTACTGCCGAAGATTCTCAGAATTTCCTCCGCTGTTTACGTCTTTATTTAATGAAAATAGAACTATTCACATTCTGTGATATATATCATCATATATTGTCACTCTCTCTCTCTCAGTAGATAACATCATTCTGGAATATTGGCTTTAATGGCTTGGACAGACATTAGAAATATAGTCTCATTGGCTAGAATACCCACCCCTTTCATTATTTGCTAAGCTGGAAACTAAATTGAAGAAATTACACAAAGATGGTCATTTTGTGAGACAGTACAGAAGGAAGAAGGATAACTGGGTTTAGCTTTTATCCTTTTGGTGCATTATGACTCCTCGGATGATGTCTGTCTCATCGTGCTCTCCCTCAGCTACTCAACCATATTCACCAACAAGAATGATGTGAGATCATCAATACAAAAAATTCTTTGAGTAATTTAAATCCGCCTACATTAATTTGATAATATCAGTTAACTAGATTAAGATGAGAAAGTATTTTATAGAATTGAAGGTGAAACAGAATTCACTTGTTACAGGAAGTCAGAATATGCAAACACAAATGCCGTATACTACTGAATGAGTGAGATGAGTAACACTGTATGCCACTCACATCAACTATTAGTGCCTACTAGCGGGAACTAAGTGACGCTATTAGATGGTTGAAGGCGGTCGGAAGAAAACCTTGGACCTTGGTTTTGTGCATGCCGCCACTCACCAGTCAGCAAGGCTTATCTACAACCTTGAAGCAAATAATGTCGCCTCTGAGATTTCAACTCGTGTCACCCAGTGCTGCAGTTTGAGAGACGTTACCATTGAACTATTCGGGCTCGCGACTCACCTCCTTTATGTCTGCATTAGATACTTCGATAGAACACTGAATAGTAAGTATCATGGTGTTATACGTCAATTCCATTGTTTGGTGCAGAGTGAATCCTATCAGATACACCTTACTGACAAACGGCTACAAGCACGAAATCCAGGTTAGGCACCGCATCCTGCCGACTGCCTCCAACCAACTAATAACAACAATTCAGAGTGCTCCGTGATGGTGAGGCCTCTAACATGCTGGCCATATTACAAACTTGACTGAAAGAATTCAGTCTGCACCAAAGATAGGACTAGACAGATCGCTCTAGCTACTTATTATAACTGGTGCTCAATAGGGAAGTTGCATCAGGCCCAACGGGTTGACCGCAGAGGAAATCTCACCATGGATACAGAAGGCCCGTTTGGCATATGCCAATTTATGCCATCTCTGGAGTAGTTGTGCGTCAGTGGCACAATGGTTAGGACTCTCGCTGACCGTGCATATGGTTCAGGGTTCGATCCCCCACCGGCGTACGCTTGATATCAATGGTTGGCCTGTAAAATTTGGGCTACCGATATCACATGCCGAAAATTCCATACTTATACCAAAAGTACTACGTGGATACAAGCTATAATAAAAATATAAATAAATAAAAAAATATCCGGCTGCCGACCAAAGGGTGTATGTACTACTCAGCAGTGCACTCCATCATCCTCCTTTATGAGTGTCTGTGAGTGAGACATAGTCAATGAAAGTGGAAGACATGAAAAGGCTGGTTAGCTGTCATTTATCATAGGTGCCTGCGTTCTGTCTACCATATGAAGTGGTATAATAGTTCGAGTAATATTGAAGTTAGGTGTCGAGTGCTAGGTAAGTCAAGGAGGGAAAATCGATAGACGAGGTTGTGAAGTTACATCGGCTGAGTTGGTTAGGATACGTGTTACGCATGCCTAGCTAGCCATCGCCTTCCTCGACAACGGGAAATGTTAGCTGACTTGGGATCGACCATGTTGGAAAAGAGCTAGCACGTGACGATCAAACCGAAACATGGTGGTATCAGTCAATGAAATCCATAACAGTTAGTTTAAGCCACGTAAGGAGGTGTAAAATTCTTCACTGGCTAGTTGGGGTCCTCGGAATGGTAAGAACAAACGAAGGCTGGAGACAATTGGTGATATGGATCAAAGTCGTTGTCAGATAACTGGTGCAGATGCATTCACTCTTTGTGATTTATAGAATCTCTCTCTAATCTCTGCTCTTGCTTTGTGTGCTAAATAGAGTGTGGCACCTTGAACCACTGCACATCTGTACAAAGTTATATATTGAAGCCAGTAAGTCAGTCAGTCAGTGTTCAATAGGAGATGTCGGGGATCTATACACTGGACCGATATTTCTGTCATTTGCTGCCGTGCTCACCAGCTCACGGGGACAATTTTTGGCTAGGATCATGGGAAAACTGATTATGGTATTAAGCAGATTACATATTTTGATCTAAGTAATCGAGTTTTCCAAAGGAAAATGCGGTGAAACAATCAACTCGAACCATGTCAGTTGCGAATTTAATTAATAAAACAGAAAATAAAAGCCATAACTGATTTAATGAACTTATCTACGCCTTTTTGCATCAGAAGGTGGTGGTTAATGATTAGTTGTCTTTCAAGATTTTTTTCATTTTTTATGGTTTTTCGTTCCGAATGGAAAATAAGACTTCAGCTTTGAACAGCCAACCTTCCCTCTTTGCCGGGCTCACTACCAACCTTTGACAGATTCTAGAACATAGGCATTCTTACCGGCATCCAACAATCGTTATATTTCTTGACCTAAAGGTGGTATTTGATTCTGTCGACTGAGAGGTCCTCTGGCAATGCTTGGCTGTAAAGGTAATGCCAAGAAAATACATTGCACTGATCAAGGCATTCTTCTCAAACTCATGCAGCCAGGTGAGGGATTACTGCTAGCTGTCATCTGAAGTGGTGACGACTAGTGATGTCCGTCAGCGATGCCCACTATCACCATTTCTATTCAATTTTATCATAGATCTACCAATGGATTTAACCCTAACTCACTTCAGAGACACAGGGATTACCAGAGAATAATCTCCTTGACTTATAATACGCAGATGATATAGTCCTTCTAGGCGAGGACTCTGACAAAATGCAGAGTCTTCCGAACACCTTGAGCTGTTATCTTAGAATGTTTGGCATGCGATTCGCTCCCGCCAAATGCAAGATGATGCTACAAAACTGGACTACACTAACTCCTAGTTAAGAAATATGGAATGAAGTGGTAGAGCACGTTGACTGCTTCACTTATTTGGGAAGTACCATCAGCCAACGCCAGTGGGTTGATCTCTGACGAAATCTCAGTACGGATACAAAGGGCTAGTTTCACATATGTCAGTTTACGCCGTCTCTGGAGCAGACGTGATATCCAGCTGTCTATCGACCAAAGAGCGTGTGTACTGCTCAGCAGTCCGCTCCATCCTCCTTTATGGCTGTGAGACCTGGCCATTGAGAGTGGAAGACATGAAAAGACTAGCTGTCTTTGATCATAGGTGCCTGCGCTCTATTTCCCGTGTAGAGTGGTATAATAAGGTGAGCAATATAGAGGTTAGGCATCGAGTGCTAGGTAAACAGGGGAAATCAGTCGACGAAGTCGTGAAGCTACAAAGACTGAGATGGTTAGGGCATGTGTTACGGATGCTTAGTCATCGCCTTCCTCGACGGGTAATGTCAGCTGACATAGGGTCAGGCTGGAAAAGAGCTAACGGCGGTCAAACCAAAACATAGCAGCACCAGTCAATGAAATCCCCAACAGTTAGTTTAAGCCAACGACGTAGGAAGGTGTATACTTCCTGACTGGTTCGGGTCTTCGGGACGGTAAAAACCAATGGCTGGAAACGATTGGTGACTTGTGACTTATGATTTCCAACGAAACTATATTGATCTTCGTTATTACTATTCCTTTGTCGCACACATCTGTCTACTGTCTCTGTTATGCATTTCTTCTACCTTCTTCTCTTGCTTAATGTGCTACATGGAGGGAGTGTGGCGACTTGAATTGGTGCACGTTGGTGCAAAGTTCTATGTTGAAAACAGACAGACACCATATGCGTGGTTGATGAGAATTCTGTCGGTAGACCACTGACACAGACACACACATACATCTTTCACGATAGTCATCCGTGATGTTTATTAGTAGAAACTAGGAGTAGCATTCAAAACAGCTATGATGATCAAAATAGGTTACAAATTACGATAAAAAATAAAAAATAAAAATCTTGCTCGTCAATAATCGTTTAGCTAACACAGTAATTTCTAAAATTATCAACAATTAGTAATGAAAATAACCTTTCTAACTAATTAGCCTTAAACTTTTGTTTCAAACCATTAAAATAAATCAGATTTGAGGTTTTCACAACCTCTTCTCTTCTCTTCCTAGATTGGAACATGTCAGCAGTGAGTGTACCCATGATATCTACTGAAGAGATTCAATGCAAAAACTTCACCTTCAGTGACAATTCCGTTGATGACTAATGCACAATGCTGAAAAGTTGGCGATCAGTGTTAAACATCTGTCTAATGTGTTCATTTGTTTCCAGTGTTTCTGTAGTTTTGATATCAATTGATTATCACAGTCTATACTGGAATTACAACAATTATATATATGCATATATATGTATGTATGAAGAAAATGTGACACACAAACACAGCACACTACTACTACTTACAAATTCTGTTAGTAGTAAAGCCAAAAATGGATCGGCGAAAGGAAATACCAATATAATCAAACAGTAAACGGTCCCTAAATATTCCAGTGGTGTGAAAAAGATGATAATCATCACGAAGATAACAATCTGAAATTAGAAGGAAAAAAATACGGAATAAATGAATCATGCTTGGGTACATTTTTTTCTAACGGTTTAAGAATATTTTGAATACCCTTCAATTAATATAAATATATATAACATCAAAAAGAACAAGATTGTGGTGGAGTGGATTATGCGTCAGACTGTGCACAGCGGGTGACCTATAAGAAGACACGAGAAGATCTGGATTTTGCGCATGGATGATTTATTGGTAGATGGTGACTAGCAGTGGAATCCAGGATGCGCATTTCGTCCTATTTGGGACTCGTTAGCTGGATGTACCTGGATTTTTCAGTGAGTGATGATGTTCCCACCGAGGTTCGAACCCATCCTGGATTCCACTGCTAGTCACCATCTACCAATTAAATACTAACTAAATGCCCAGACATTGTCAAAACATCTGCACAAGGAGATGCCGACATGTCAACCTGAGACCAAGCACTTCGGTCCAATCAATCCACGGGAAAATCACAAATTCAGTAAAATGGATGATTTATGTCTAACATCACACAATCTTGAAGACTTACCGGCGAAAAACAACAAACTGGCAGAAGAGGCGAGGTAGGCAGGCAGCTGTCAAAGACAGGACTCCAGGTGAACATAGAAAAGGTGGTAACAGAGGTGATGAAGATTACCAACGAACTGCAACAACAACTACAACAACCAGCACCAATTACTATCAACGGGAGAGATTTGAGAGAGGTTACTTCCTTCACTTATCAGGCCAGAAAGCACGGTTTCAACCACAGTCGATGGAAACGCATGAAGATGCGAAAGCAGGCCGGAATCGGAAAAACAAGACACACTTTCATTAATCTGAAGGCAGTTAAGAAATCTTCTGCACTCCGCAGCATTAAGAACAAAGACACACAAATGTGAAGTCAGTCAGTCAGTCACCGTTTCCATACGGGTCATAAACTTTCACTGCACGTCACGAAATGAATTTCCTGCAGGCTACTGCAGATTTTATTGAACAGCTGCCTTCCTTCCAAATTGAAAATCGAATGGCCGGCTGACGGGTCAGAAAGAATTAGTAACAAGAAACTCTTCACTACAACGAATCAACAGGCAAGAGTCAATTTCTCAAAAAGTGGATATCTAGTAGAAAATAGAGATGAATTGATTGAATGACATCATGCACAATACAGGCCATTGCTCGAATGGAACCCGAATGGGAAGCGACGAGTGCGTCGTCTATGCGAGGATAACACGGAGAAGATCGTAGGGTGAGGCAGAGGAGATGAGACATTATGCGCGATAATGGACCTCGCTGGAAAGGACAGAAGAACATAGAACAAAGTGGAGATGTGTTGCTGAAGCCCTATGTTCCACTCAGAACCCACAGGGAATACTAACAATATTACATAGAAACCCATAGTATTGTGTTATTTGTGTGATGGTAGTGGCTAGGAAGGGAACCAAGTAACACTTATTTCATCCATCTTGGGACTCGTCAGCCACATTTACCTGCAATCTGCAGTAAGTGATAGGGTTGCTTACCAAATCCCTTTAAACTCGAACCCAGTACCCTTCGTTTCAAACGCCAAAGCGTTATCCACTAGACCCCTTGGACCAAGAGAGCCATTTCTTGTGCAATGAGGATAAGTCATTGTTTTTGTTTAAGTTTATTTTTGTTTCTCCCATTGATTCATTGACCGGAAATGTTCGGCTTCTGTTAAGACATGTTGGCTCCTCTTAGTACGGACGCTTTGATGATTATCTCAGGATTAACAGTGAAGTTATTTGGTGGAACTTGTCGGCCGATATACTTGCATCTCCCCAGTGGACGAAAATAGTGTCCCTACAATTTTCAATACGAATTGCCACTCCCCAAGAAATCAAATTAATTACCTGCCTTCTTTGATCGTTCAGTTATCTCTTTGGGTTGTAAAATGTACTTGTGAACTTTGCTTAATCGCCTCTCAACCATATATCCTACATTTCTTCAAGAAGACAAAAAAGACATATCACAAGGGATTGATTTACGCCTCATGTCAAACGATATTACGTCACACTATTATCAATTACTGTCTTAATCGAAGATGCCGGACGAAGGTGATACACTACGCAGTAAATTTTGTTGAGAATTATTATTATTATTTTTTCCTTTAATTCCTAGAGGAACATAGCGCCTCAACTGCCCACCTCCATTGCCTTCTGTTTTCTGACAACTTTTTCACCCCGCTCCAGGCCTGTCCACATGCTTTCATCTCCTCCTCGCATGACCTCCTCCAAGTCACCCTTGCACTGACGACCAACTCGCCACTTCCCTTTCAGGTTCCACTCGAGCGATGGCTTGTCTAGTGATGTCACTTGATGGTTTGTTTCCTAAGAGTATAGTATAGCCAATCCATCTCCATTTCTTCCTGCCTATTTGTTTCACAATCGGTTCGTGCTGGGTTGGTTCGCTCATTTCCAGAGATCCCTGTTGCTGATCTTTTCTGGCCAGCCATCTGATCTTGAGTAGCATTGAGCGAAGACAACTGTTAATGAAGGTTTGAAGTTTGTTTGAGATGCTCTTTATGACGCGCTAAGCCTCTGATCCCTATAGTAAGTGGTACTGACTTCACATTGGAGTTGAAAATCCGGCTGAGAATTATATACATTTTACAAACACTGTCCAGAAAAAATTTATGATTATTATTCTTATTACTGCTGTTCGAACAGTGGAGGTCAATTTCGATTTGGTTTTTTTCAGGTAGTTAGTTGATATAGTCTTATACGATTTTGTATTATGTGCTTAGATGAAATGCTGCAATCCTTCCGGTTATTACATTTGACACTTTTGAAGGTATTTTATCAACCATTTCATCTGGCTGGAATATCTACACTTTAGAGTTTGCTACGCTATGCGTGAAAATACCTAACAATGGCTTTTATCCCCTTCTCCCTCCTACCGAACATGGTGTATAACTAGGCTAAGAAAATAACACGCTTGTGCCTACTTATTACAACTGGCTATAATAGTATATATATATATATATACATGTTGAGTCAGCCGAGTGGTATAAGTCTCCAGACTCAAGAGTTATCTTCTGAGTATGTTCTAGTCCACAATGTGGACATGGGTTTGTATCCCACTTCCGGCCAAGTTAAACTTTAACACACCGCTAACAACCAATCACCGAATGACGTTGAATGGCCAATTGAGTTTCATCCACGTGAGTTGAAGGTTCTATTCGGCTTGATTTGAATCAAATGCCTGCTCTAAAGCAACTGAGCTTGCAATTCGGTGAGAATAAGGTTTTCCAGTATTGCTCAGATGTGGGGTTGCTTAGGGAAGAAAGGATTTATTTATTTATTTGGCGGTGACAAAAGTATAAAAGGCTTTGGCAGGTCAATTGATGGAAATGTCCATCTCTGTGCAATTTGTTTGAGACAATTTAATGTCAGAGAAGGTAAGCTGATGATTCTAACATTTTGTAGGAACATTTTTTGCCAGGTCCCACTTATTCTTAACCCAAATTTTGTTTATTTGTAATTACTGGGTTTTAAAACAGTTCAGAGGTACCAGTACTGCTGGGATATCGTATCCTGGAAAACGGAGAAACTTTCTTCCTCACTGGGAGGAGAAGGTGTCATAGTACACGTAGATGAAATTGTCTTGTATTAAAGAAAAAATACAACCGTAATCGTGTACGAGCAAATAATATTTAGGTGTGATTGATTTACACGATACCTCTCTACAGAAATGATTCATTGAGAGAATATCACACAGAAAGTCAACTACCTTAATACCTTAATATCACTCAACTTGTGAAACATAAATCTATAATCAAAATAAAAAATAAAATAAAAAATACACACCGGTAAGTGGAAAGATTATAACACCCTGTCACCACAGAGTGAACCAGTTTAATTATTTTGTGCATCCCATTACAGGGATACAAACCAATTCTATAGAAGGCGTTTAGGGAAGGTTAAAAAAAACACAGGATTAGGGTCATGAATGGATCTCAAAAAGATATTCATTTATAGTCATTTAGCTGAATATATGTATAGGATATGGTGTAACTTTTCAATTGATACTCCTATGCTAAACTGAGAGATGTTTTCATCACATGTGAGAGAAAGATATCCTCTGCAACAGTTTTAAACTGTTTTTATGCATTTTTTTCTTCTCATGTACATATGTATTCCATGCCTAAGAATGCCTCCTTCATGTGACTGGTGCTTGAGTCCAAGGTCATTCACTGATTGATAGTTAGTGGTGCTTAAAAATTTAACTTTGCCCCATCTCCAACACACATATTTATGTTTCGGTAATTCAATAGTTAAACACTCGTCAACCACGCCTCATGTGGTCCAGGGTTTGATTCCCAGCCGGTAGACTACTTAACCTCGCTGAGTCGATAGTCGGACTGGTGAAGAGAGGAGATCAGGGGTGAAACTACCAGCCATTGAAATTCAAAACTGAGGCTTGAAGCCTGATCCTGCCCACCCGGAATGCAAAAGGATGAAACAAAATAAAATGAAAAAAAAAATAAGTAGATATGTATGTAGCAAAAATATTCATTCAGATATCTATAAAACACAACATAATCGAGCAAAGAATATTCTTTTCGATAAATTCCTCTCCCAGGCTCTACAATTATATACATGTTTATATACACAGAATATTCAAGATTGGTAGTTAATAACAATACTAGTGTTTATTTTTAAATAATATCGATTTGTAAAGCAAGATCAACCTTGAATATTATGTGTATATAAACAACCAGTGTTGATTTGAGTCTTTCAACCATCGAGACAGAAAAGGAATCTAGTATTCCATTTTTAGACGTTTTTATGACCAGAAAAGAGGATGGCTCAATAAAAAGAAGTGTATATAGAATGCCTACATCAACGGGCCAGTACACACATTTTCTCAGTTTTGTGCCCTTGAAATACAAACGCAATTTGATAAAGTGCCTGGTTCACAGAGCAAGAGCAATTTGCTCGGACGAATGTCTTGATGAAGAACTGAATAATATTAAACGGTTGCTAAGTGAGAATGGTTATCCTGAAAAGTTTATTGATAAGAATATGAATCTGAAATCAAAGCAGCCCAAGGTACCAACAGTTCCTAAAAAATGCTTTATTCTTTCAGATGCAGTTCCTTGGGGACAACACTAGCGAGATACTAACACAGCGTATTAGAAACGCGGTAAAACGAGCATTCCCTGCTGCTGAATTACGTTGTATCTTTAAGACTACTTCTCTTCTGCGTTCGGGAGTAAAAGACAAACTGCCTAATTTTGCCTCATCCATGTGTATGTACCAATTTAATTGCTCCTGTGGAGCCAGTTACATAGGCCGCACAATTAGGCGTGTTTCTCGTCGAATTTCCGAACATCACCCTGCGTGGTTAAGCAAAGGCCAAACAAAATCTATCCGTAGCGCTATTTTGGCTCATCTGGTGGATACAGAACATAGGATTGATGTTAATCAAGCTTTCAGAGTTATTTATGGGATACCAACAAATCTCAACTTCGCCTTAAGAGTTCGATTACTAAATATTGCTGAGGCTGTTGGGATCCACATTAAAAAGCCTAATTTGTGCGTCCAAAAGAAGTTAGTTCAGACACTGTCCCTACCTTGGCCATCTAGGACTGAATGATTCTCAATTTTCGTGGAAATTTCCTAATTTTAGTTGATATTCTACTCGCTATTATATCTTTATTACTATTATAATTTAAGTATTTTTAGTGAACTGTAATTCCATTGTGATCTTGCTTTACAAATCGATATTATTTAAAAAACACTAATATTGTTATTTAATACTAATCTAGAATATTCTATGTATATAAACATGTATATAATTGTAGAGCCTGGGAGAGGAATTTATCGAAAAGAATATTCTTTGCTCGATTATGTTGTGTTTTATAGATATGTATGTGTATAAAAGAGATTTCACAGGGACTCACTAATATTGTTGATCCAAATAATACCGTGGCAGCACTTGGTCGATTTATAAATAAACATCCGACATAAATTGTAATGATACTATCGATTGCAGTTAAAAAATTTAACCAATTATGCAACAGGCCGCTTTGCCAATATGATAATATATGATTCTATTAAAAACGAATAAATTTAATCAGAAGCGTTAAAATAATTCTATTAATTGTGTATATGAATAAGTTAATGAGTGGTTATAGTAACTTAGCGATAGTTTAGGAATAAATGTTGGCAGATTTCGCCCTTCGTGGGGATTTTTTGATTGATTTCCAAGGACTTCGTCTTAATGAGCTGACATAGGTTAGAGGACCATTGGGAAATCACCAGGGAACATAAGATAACTAGCTGTTTCGTCAGTCTAGCTTGGGACTCTTCATCGGTACGCACCCACCAGGAACCAGTCGAGTGGTTTTTTAATGTATGTCAGCTGATGATGAAATCCTGTACCCAATCAAATCAAATCCCAACAAATAAACACTTGGATAATAATCTGATGCCTGCTGGGGACTTATCCCATTTAGACAGGTAGTTACTTGGGTTCTAGTTAGAATACGTGACCAGTTGCATATAGCATGTCGGGTGTGGTGATAAATACTCGCCAGCTAAGGTAATGGCTAGTGCCAGTCGCACTATGTCGCGAATTGGCAGAAGTTGCGACTCACAGACTGGTCACTGGATCGGGTCCCAGTGACTGAATGGTATATGAGCTTGTTACCTTTGTAACTGGAAGTTCCTGGGGTTCAAACCCAGGTGCTGGTACGGCGCGTACTGCCGTACAGCTGACTATCCAGTACTCCCTGAAGGTTTTCCAATGGTTCTCTGACCGATGTCAGATCATAATGAAATTTCGATTAATTGCCGGAATCTTTTAGGCATCAAATACTCCAGACAGCAGAGACTATTGCAATTCGATTAAAACAGCCGATTTCCCATGTGTAGAAATAACCAGGTCCCGCCATTATATTGCCACCCTGACTTTCTGTCGAGCTTATTAATCCAAAAATACTGTATTACGTTGCATCTTTTAAGCATGACCTTCCACTATATATATATATATATATATATATATATAAATTCCCCTACTCCTTATTGTTGAACTCGGTTAGACAAACCCTTTGTCTCCTTACTTAAATTTAGTCATTAATTTACATACTGGCACACAAAATCTTCTACCTCATTTTCGCTTCCTAGTTTCGACATTATCATTCAGCCAAATGAAATTTATAATCGATGTGAGTAAAATTTCGATATGGACATTAGTCACGAAGGTGTCGGTGGCACAGCGGCAGAATGCTCACCAAGCACACCAGTCATTGCAAGCTTGAACCTTCACGTTACAAGGCTGATCTGCTGATCATTCAGCTATTTGGTTGTAATTCTCAGAGACCCATGAATTGAAGCATGTGTCAATTCATGAAATAGTGCTTTAGCCAAAACCAGTGTCATAGATGGCTATCTGCTTCATAACCAATACAGCTGACTGCACCGACCACAAGTGCTCATTATAATTTCGGAACACTCATACTGCATATGTAGTAATCAGTTGGATATGAATATTCAAGTTCACTCCTTACTGTGCTAAAGAGTCCCAAGCTAGGACGAAACAGTTATTCAGTGCTCCATGGTTCTCAGTGATTTCAAGTCTGATCATAGAGTGACGTCAGTTAGACAGCTGTTGAAAACCAGTAGGGAGTACTGGACAGCTATCTCGTCAGCACTCCTACCCAAAAGGGATCGAACACAGGATCTTCAATTCATGATATTAGAATAAAACTTGTGCACAATGGTGGTAGGGTATAATTCTATTATGGGTAAAATTTATTTTGATAAAGTCTCACTGTGGTGTTATACAGTAAGTAATATTTACTGATGACCATGTTTCGAGCACAATTTATTACTGTTCATAAACATCATATCAAGACACTAATCACACAATTTTCTAACTTCGTTTATATAATTCCATTATTTCCACTCATTGCTTGACTTGATTGGTAGTAGTATTTTCCATATATCTGTGGTATTGGTGATGAATCATTCCTGTTAAACGTGTTGGGTGTAGATTATTCGATGAACAAAGATTCAGTAATCAACCACTTCTCTCTCTCTCTCTCTCTCCACCTACCTATGCTACTTCTTAGAATTTTAACCCTCTTCCACCTTATCGTGCGGTGCTGGTGTGTTAATGCATGCAGTGCAATCGCTAAGTTCCTGTTTCTAGATTACTTATCTCCTTGGGGTCAACCATTCTTACCTTAGCTAAATTCTTGTGTTCCGACAATCTGACTACCCCCAACCAACCTAAAATACAGAGAACTCTACACTGTATATATAAACATATTATCCAGAATTAACCTGCCATTGATGTTATTCCTAATTCACATAAATTTCGTCACTAATTGAAACGAGTAGGAGAACCATCGAGAAGCAAAGAGCAACCAGAAGCTACTACATCCTAGTTTCAGACTACTCCGGTAGATTTTTCCTTTTGACATACCTGTTTGATACTTTTAAATCAGATTACAAAAGTTCTTGAGTAACTTGATCTTGTTACAAGATGCAAACTACAGTTAGTGAGGTCCATCAGATCGGTGTGAAGGTAAATGCTCACCGATGATATCAGCTGATGAAGGGTTATTGCATCCTAGCCGAAATGATTGAATGATCAAAGAGTTTATCCTCGTAACCTGAAGGTCGTGGGATCGATTTAAGACGGAGTTTAGGGTGCATACTGATGAAGAGTTTCAAACAGGGGCGAAATAGATGCCTAGCACTCCCGTGATGAAATTTGAAACAAACTAAAACTCTTGAAAAGAGAAATTAACAAATATCAACTTCTCATTCGAGATGCACTTACTTACCTTGCAAGGGAACATGAATACTGTAGTAAAACAAGCCAATAGTAGATATTGTAATATATGCGTGAGGAAATGTGCGCCCCAATATGACCAGTGTTTCATTCCATATAGATGAAGTTGGGATAGTATATGAAGCTATAAAAATTGACATGATATTGAGACGAAATGTTTTGATGAACTATGGATTACTACTAACTAGTATACAAGTAGTATAATGATAACAGCATAAAATTTGGGGAATGATCAGATGCTGAAGGTAATTGTACTAAGTATTTTCATCAAATAAATAGTGTTAACAAACATTTTCTGCCTGCCCCGAAAGACAGTGATAAAAAAGGATAACATATCAGAGTATATATTAAATAAATCTTTGAATTGTAATACTTGTACTGATGGTATTCATGATTATGGTGGATTGGATCATGCAACAGATCGTGACAAATGAGAAGATGGGTATACGTTGGACCGTCAGAGAGACTGTAAAAGATCTGGAATAATGTGTCCTGTCGAACAAATGTGGAAATTTACAGGTGAAAACCAACAAAATGGCTGAAGAGTCAGTGAGGACCGGAACAACTTGAGGCAAATATGGGGAAGACAGAAGTGATGGAGATATCCAACCGACAACAACAACAACAAACAAACAACAGTCACCGACATCGGGACAAATATAAAGAAAGTTATCTCTATCACATATTGCGACAGAATCATTTTTGCTATAGGTGGCAAGCATGAGGGTTCAAAAGCCAACAAGCCAGGCATTGAAAGAGCAAGATATGCTTCCATTAATCCTTGCGGAGAACTACATCATTCACCACAAGGAATAATATCTGAATTTTCTTCAGAGTAGCCAGTTCAGTCAGTACTTTTGTATGGTTCAAGAGCTTGGTGTGAACTTCACCAAAAGTATTTCCAAGAGACTGAGGACTTTCATGAATAGCTACTTTGTCTGCCACCATATTGAAGATCAGATAGCCGAAGAGAAAAGATAAGCGACCAGGAACTTTGGGACTTAGTAAAACAGCAAAGAATCTATTGCTTATTAAGTGTGCAGACGAAAATGGGGTTAGATCAGGCATATACTGAGCAGAAAGATATTTCACGTGATTATTATTATTGTATCCTTTAATTCCTAGAGAAACATAGCGCCTCAACTGCGCACCTCCATTGCCTTCTGTTTTCTGACAACTTTTTCACCCCGCTCCAGGCCTGTCCACATGCTTTCATCTCCTCCTCGCATGACCTCCTCCAGGTCACCCTCACACTGACGACCAACTCGCCACTTCCCTTTCAGGTTCCACTCGAGCGATGGCTTGTCTAGTGATGTCACTTGATGGTTTGTTCTCTCACAGTATGTTCAATCCACCTCCATTTCTTCCTGCCTATTTGTTTCACAATCGGTTCGTGCTGGGTTGATTAGCTAATTGTCAGAGATCCCTGTTTCTGATCTTTTCTGGCCGGCTATCTGATCTTCAGCAGCATTGAGCGAAGACAACTGTTAATGAAGGTTTGAAGTTTGTTTGAGATGCGCCAATTCCACGTGATATTACATGCTAAGTGTTCCAGTGGGTCGCGAATGGGGAGCGAGAAGTTGGACATGGGTTGGAAGGTGACATACAGAAGATCATGTCAACAGGAGATAAAGGATTGTGGGCAGTTATGGAACCAGCTGAAAGTGATGACATGGAATCAAATGTAATGGGGACATGTCGTTGAGGTCCTATGTTCCATTTGGAGAGCATAAAATGAATAATGATAGTATACGTGATGAACTGATCAAATAGCTGACTCGTTATTTAAAAAGTGGACTTCTTCAGTTCATTAACGCAAAATTTCGAAAATACATGATCCTTTATAGCATAAAACTAATTACAAATATTGATCATATAGAGACTTTAAAATAATTGGCTGATAAATGCGTTTCGTATAATGTGATACACATTTAACTATCACCAATGAAACTACTGATCAGACTGTAAGCAGTATATATAAATAATATGAAGAAATTTCAGACTTTGATTCTTGATAGTGTCTGGAGTGAACTCATTCCTTTATGTTCCCAGTGGAACATAGGGCTTCAAGCTAAAGTTTTGAAGTTCCACTAGCAGTGGTATTTATTTTTAAGGGATCAGGTTGCTACCCAGCATCACCTGGCCCAACCTTCCCTCTTTACCAGTCTTATTACTGGCGTAGAGAAGGAGCAAAGGAGTGCGTCGGCCGGAGATCGAACCTGGTGAGAATTCTACCACTGGAGTAGATTTTCTATTATTATTATTATTATTAGTCATTCCTTGCGTTCAGAGTAGAGAAAGTGACCTGAGAGTATTAGCTCCCATGCAGGAACAGTTTTCAGTGCTGCCGGTGATGTTATGATAGCCATTCCCACACTGTCATCGTGGTTGTTGTTTGAATGACACGATTAGATTGCTGACTCTCCATTCAACAATTTGAAGAGACCACTTCCATGACATCTGCTCTTCAAGAGACATAAGCTGACTGGCTTCCTGAAGACTTTCACCAGCCCATATCATTTCATTTCCCTGATCCCAGAGAACAGTAATTTCATTTTTTATAATTTTTCTGTGGTTTTCAAGTTTTTGTATCAGTTGGTTGGATTTTCCGGGATATGGTTGCTATCCCACGATAAACCTTCCTTCTTTCACCGGCCTTAGGGCAGGCTAGTCGACTAGTGAACTAGCAAACTGGAGGAGGTTGCAATAAAGGCTGCTGATAGGGAAATAAGTAGTATATTCGTAACATACGAAAGTTTTAGGCTTCTACTATAGGCAGTTGTGTTATATATGCAAAAATGTCTGTATACTTCATTAGTTATAAGAAAGTTCTTAAAATATAAACAGAAAAACTTTCTGATTGATTCCAAGTGCTCATGAATGATAGAGAAATTTATCTCAAATATTCACAAGTCTAATGCTGCATTGTGAGATGCTGGTTCAGTGGTAGAGCGCTCGTCAGCTATGCCTTACGTGGTCTGGGGTTCGTCCCTCAGCCGATGCACTCCTGAACCTCGCTAAGCTGACAGTAACTCAGGTAAAGAGGAAAGGTTGGGCGTGAGGCAAGCAAACCCACCCCGTAAAATGGCAACCACTACTACCGGAACTTTAAAGCCTTATGTTCCGGTGAGAACGCAAAGGAATACAATAAATAACAATATTAATGCTACATTTTCTTAAGTCAAATTCTCAGTTACTGAATGATCGTACTGAACACAGTACAAGGAACAAGATCTAGATCTTCGACAGTAATGTCAAGTCAATACTTCTTTATATTTTTAAAGTTGGTCCACGTGTCACCAAAAGCCTTTCCAACAGGCTACAGTAGACCTTCATCAACAGTCACCTTCGTTGCTTCAACACTACAGATCAGATGGCAGTCCAAAAAGTATAAACAATAAGAACCTTGTCAATGAATTAACCAAAAGCCTACAACCTAACAAATGTGCATAAGGAAATGAAGGTGGATCGGACACTTAGTGGGGGAGACCGTTAAGTGACATCACATACCAGGTTGTCGAGAGAATTTTGAATCATAAAACGACGAGTTGGACCCCTGAGGCCAAGATCGTAGAGACTATGCGGGGAGGAAATGAAAGCTTATGAACAATTGTGAAGCCATCTACAAAGGACTGCAGAGAATAAGGTTAAATAGCGATGTACTTCTGAAGCCTCATGTTTCTGCAGGAATCCAAGGGAATGATAGTAATCATAAAAATTACATTTATCTGTGTGAAACTATTCTTCCCTATCTCTGGTGTTTCCGTTGAGTCACCTCTATTGCATGTGTTCGGTGTAGATTATTCGATAACCCAGGATTCGGTGATCAACCAACTCTCTCTCTCTCTCTCTCTCTGCCTCCACTAACCTATATTACCTTTTAGAATTTTGACTCTGTCCCAGCCACCCTGTTGTATGGTTGTGTGTTAATGCATGCAGTGCACGCCATATTTACCTGTCAAGTCATAGTCTAAGGGAATAGTAAAAACTCTAAACAGACAGTATAAAGTGATGAAGTAATACGCAAATCAATAAAACCAAAAATAAAATATTACGATAACACATTACTAACTCACCTCTTTATCACGTACAATATCACTAGCTATTAATGGACTTAAAGCACATGTAGCTACACTGCATGAAACCAGATAAATACATGCACTAGCCATTGATAATTGTGGATGTATTTCTGGCCATTGTTCTGGCCATGATATAAATTCACCAATTAATGGAACATTTCCACCATTCTCATGAAACTATATTTAAGTTGTTTTATTGATAAAAAAGAGAACAAAATATGAATAGATTTCATTAAATATTTGAAGGAAGATACTAAATATAAGAAGCTTCACACACACACACACACTTATTCCTCTTCAATGAATTTGAATACGCTGACATCAATTAGAGAACCATTGGAGAACCAGTAGGGAGTACTGGAAAGCTGTTTCGTCATTTTAGTTTGCGACTCTTCGGCAGTACGCACGCACCGCCAGGGTTCGAACCCAGAACCTTCTGGTTACAAAGCTAGCTAGCTTGTAGACTATTTAGCCACTGGAACCCGATTCAATAGCCAGACCATGAATTCTAACTTCTGCCAGTTTATGACGCAGGGCGATCACTCAGCTTTGTCTTCTTCGGTAAGTAACTGCTTCACATTCAGCCTGCTGTACCCTACTGGTCATGGCTTCCCACGGTAAGTAGTGGACCCTGTAGCTGACTCTTCAAAAGAAACATTATTTGGACATACTTTCATCTTCTTATTGGGTCTAGTGCTTCCAGTAACTCTCAACTTCAGTTCCTATTGCTTGAATCATGCAAAAGTTGACTATTAAAACTTCTAAATCTCGACAAATACCTTTTGTGTAACAGATATCAGTGATCATAAAAATCTAAAACACCAGGCTAGTATGATACTCTTGGCTGTTATAAAGCGATCGATAATTGGTTCTATTTTCACAGAGACAATATCATTGAAAAAGACTGACTAAACAGGCTAGATTCTGTCCAGCTAATTTCATTTAAAAAAAAATAAATAAATACAATTATTTTAAGATTTCTGGCAAACTGACTTCACTTCAAGAACCACTGAAAACCAGGGAGTAATAGACAGCTGTTTGGTCCTAGCCTTTGACTTTCCTGCAGTATGCACCAATAATCCCACGTAGCATCATACCAAGTACCTTCAGGTTACGCCGGGCGAGTTCATTGATCCCTTCAGTGACTGAGAGAGAGGTGTGATTCGAGGATCCATTACTCCCTAGTTCTTTCAGTGGTTCCCTAAATTGATAAAGTCATTTTGTAACGTCAGTCTTGAATTCAGACTTTAAAATACCAATGAACCCCCAGTTAACCAACTCTATAGGTGTTTATTAATTCACCTGCTCAAGTGAAGCTAGGTACATAGGTCGTTCGACTTGGGTTTTGTTCAAGGGGATGCAAGAACACTATCCTGCATGGTTACGAAGAGGTGGAAGTGCAGCAATAAAAAGCGTGATTATCGAACATCTGGTCGATAATCATCACTCTATCTCCACAGCTTCCGTCTTTAAAGTCATCTACAAGTCGAAAAGTAATTTGCCAAAATCACTACGTATATATATGACTCATCTGCATTGCTGAAGCAGCATTGGTCATTGAAACAGAAAAGTTAGATCTCTGTGTACAGAAAAATTTCGTCCAACCACTCGCCTCCAACTTTCATGGGCTTAATCTCTCTCTATGTATGCTAAAGTATAGTAATCCCTAATCATATTTTGGTTCTACCCACTTTTCGTTTTGGTTATTCAATTTGTAAACTCTTCCTTTATTTTACGTAAATTGTTATTGTAATTTAGTAATTCCTGTTGTAATATTAAGAACACAATATTCAACGAAGAGACTCTCTTCAACGACGAATTTATTATAGCAAAAATATTCATTCAGATATCTATAAAACACAACATAATCGAGCAAAGAATATTCTTTTCAATAAATTCCTCTTCTGGCTCTACAATTATATACATGTTTATATACACAGAATATTCAAGGTTGGTAGTTAATAACAATATTAGTGTTTTTTAAATAATATCGATTTGTAAAGCAAGATCAATGGAATTACAGTAATTGCATTGATCTTGCTTTACAAATCGATATTATTTAAAAAACACTAATATTGTTATTAACTACCAACCTTGAATATTCTGTGTATATAAACATGTATATAATTGTAGAGCCAGAAGAGGAATTTATTGAAAAGAATATTCTTCGCTCGATTATGTTGTGTTTTATAGACGAATTTATTGTCAACCTATATAATCGTATATATATATGGTTTTTAATCAGTTATATCTGGTGAGAGAATTACATCAAAGGTGTGAATACATGAAATAATAATAGTACTAGTATGAAATGCAACAGCAGGTTGAAGATGAGGCAGTAACTCATCGAAACGAAAAAGACATTGCGAAGTGGTCGCGCTATGTCGTGAATTGGCAGAAGTTAGAATTCAACAACCATTGGATCGGGTCCCAGTGGCTCAATGGTCTACGAGCTCGCTAGTCTTGTAACCAGAAGGTCCTGGGTCCGAATCCCAGTGGGTGCGTACTGATGAAGAGTCCCAAACTAGGACGAAACAGCTGTCCAGTACTCCCAGGTTTTCCAGTGGTTCTCTAACTGATGTCAGCTCATGACTAAATCCTTCATGCAATCAAACAAAATCCCTACAAAACCAATACTTAAAATATTTGTGATTATAATCATAGGTTAATGTCAAGTGGCAAAATAATTAATGTCATACATAGAATAATACATAAGGTGTATAGATGTTGGAAGTGGGGGTGCATAATTATAGGATTAGTGGGCGCATATAAAATGTTATATAACATGGTGTGTGAAATTTGATAAGAAAGAATTCAATATTGTAAAAAAATAATAATTTTGGATTTAGAATAACAAGTGGGACAAGCGGAAACAATTCAGAGTGAAAATAATAATAATAACCATAGTAATGCGGGAAAGGTACATAGATTAACTAAATAAACAAAACAAATAAATTAACTGGTTACAGGATTTCATCATTAGCTGACATTGGTTAGAGAACCATTGGAAAACCAGTAAGGGGTACTGGAAAGCTGTTTCGTTCTAGTTTGGGACTCTTCATCAGCACGCACGCACGCACCGTCAGGGTTCGAACCCACGACCTTCTGGTTACAAGGCTAGCGAGCTAGTAGACCATTAAGCCACTGGGACTCGATCCAGTGGCCAGTCCATGAATTCTAACTTCTGCCAATTCACGATATAGCGCACCGCTAGCCAATGTCTTCGGTAAGTATTTGTCCTAAGACCTGACCTGCTGCATCCTCCTGGTGACGACTCCTCACTGAGAACCGCAGGCAACTACCTACCTGAATAGGGCAAGTCCCAAACTACGACGAAACGGTTGTCCAGTACTCCCAGATTTTCCAATAGTTCTCTAATCAATGTCAGCTCATGATGAAATCCTGTAACCAATCAACCAAATCCTTGAATAAATAAATATCTATCCCTCTACGGCGAAAGCAGAAGTAGGGATTTTACATACTTCTTTTGTACTTAAACGTCTGGTTTATATTCCTGAATGAATTCTCAAGGCTTCCGCTGTCTTTAGAAGGGTATAACGAATAAAACGCGGTCGGCAAGTTAGCATGGATTCGGTAGATGGTCTTGAAATAATGGTCAGGGTTGGCAGAGTGACAGGAGTCGATCAAGTGTTCTAGAATAGAGCTTCGCACACCCTTCCTTTTTCCCTTGTAAAACCATACTGCTGGAAAATGTTCTCCAATCCGTGTGGAAAGCGTTCTCTGTAATTCATCAGAGAAAAAGGAATCTGATCTAATTGTATACTAACCCTGTAAATTATACACCCCACTGCCAACATCTATACACTTTATGAATTATTCAACATATATGTCACATAATTTGTTTTGCCACTTGACAATTGATATTTAACTGTGATTATAATCACAGACCTTTTAATTGCATTTCATACTAGTACTATTATTATTTCACGTATTCACACATTTGATCTAATTCCCTTACCCGATATAAACTCTTACAAAAACACATTATATATACATATATACTATTGCACAGCTTGATAATAAATTCGATGTTCGAGAGAGTCTCTTCACTGTCTGTCTGTCTGTCTGTTTTCGACATAGAACTTTGCACATATGTGCGGCTGTTCAAGTCGCCACACTCCCTCCACGTAGAACACAAAACAAGAGGAGAAAGTAGAAAAAAAAAATGCATAATAGAGGCAGTAAACAGAGGTGTGAGACAAAGGAGGAGTAATAACGAAAAACAAAACAGTTTCATTGGAAATCATAAGTCACAAGGAGTGGATGCATCTGTGCGAGCCATTGAGAGCGATTTTGAGCCATGTTACCAATTGTTTCCAACCATTGATTTTTACCATCCCGAGGACCCCAACCAGGAAGTCTACACCTTCCTACGTGGCTCAAACTAACTGTTGTAGATATCATTGACTGAACAAGCCATGTTTTGGTTTGGCTGCCGCTAGCTTTTTTCCAGCCTGACATTGCTCGTCCGTTGAGGAAGGCAATGACTAGACATACGTAACACATGTCCTAACCATCTCAGTCTTTGTAACTTCACAACTTCATTGATCGATTTCTCCTGTTTACCTAGAACTCGACGCCTAAACTCTATATTGCTCATCTTATCATGCCACTTCACACGGGAGATAGAGCGCAGGCACCTATGGTCAAAGACAGCTAACCTCTTCATGTCTTCCACTCTCAGTGGCCAAGTCTCATAGCCATAAAGGAGGACGGAGAGGACTGCTAAGCAGTACACCCGCCCTTTGGTTGATAGTCGAACATCTCGTCTACATAGCCAGAGACGGCGTAAACTGGTATATGCGAAGCTAGCCTTCTGTATCCGTGCTAAGATTTCGTCAGAGATCGACCCACTGGCGTTGGCTGATGGTACTTCCCAAATAAGTGAAGCGGTCAACGTGCTCTACCACTTCACTCCCTATTTAGAAACTAAACTAGGAGTCAGTGTAGTCCAGCCAGTCCTGTAACATCATCTTGCATTTGGCGGGAGCGAATCGCATGCCAAACATTCGTAGATTGCGGCTCAAGGTGTTTAGAAGACTCTGAATTTTGTCAGCGTCTTCGCCTAGAAGGACTATGTCGTCTGCATATTCCAAGTCAACGAGATTATTCCCTAGTAGCAAGTCAATCCCCGGGTCGCTGAAGTCACTTAGGGTTAAGTCCATTAATACGTCTATGATGAAGTTGAAGAGAAAAGGGGATAATGGGTATCGTTGACGGACACCACTAGTCGTCACCAATTCAGATGACAACTCACCGTAAGCCCTCACCTGGCTGTATGAGCACGAGTAGAGTGCCTTAATCAGTGCAATGTATTCTCTCGGAATTCCCTTCTCTTCAATGAATATTGTGTTCTTAATATTTCTGCGTAATGCGACGGTGACACAGCAGTTAGGATGTTCACCGACCATACACATGGTTCGAGGTTAGATCCCCGGCCACCGACGCACTCCTTTACCTTGCTAAGCCAGAAATAATGCTGGTAAAGAGGAAAGGTTGGGCGTGAGGCTGGCTAGCAACCCCATCCTGTAAAAATAAACATTACTGGTACAGAAACTTCAAGCTACTAGCTTGAGGCTCCATGTTCCACTGGGAACGTGAAGGAAAAAAAACAAGACATGAAAATACAAGTATTACTCACCAATGAATTCTCTTTGATTTGTTCTTTGAGATTACGTAAGTGCATACAATTCCATAGAGTGAAATGATATAGAATAATTTGAGCTGCATTGTCATAATCTTTTTTACCAAGAATTAGAGTGACTTTCGAGTTGTCAGCATTCTGTGTATGTGTGTGTGGGGGGGTTGTGAAAGGCAAAAGAAAACGGAGAACACAGTTAGACAAAATTTTGGTAACTCGTGTTACAGCCAAACAATTTGCATTATGCTAAAGAATTAAAAGCTGATAGAGATATTGATAAATCCATCCCACCATATATAACTGATTGATTGATTGATTAATTAATTGATTGATTGATATGAGTAGTTCTATTCTACTAACACCACCAACCAGTAGTACTTGTCAGCCAGCCATATCAAAGTGTTCTAAACACCGACTGATCATTCCATTCGCTTAAAACAGAGCTTATTACCAGTGTCCTAAGGTCTACTCATCTTACAGAGCCGCCAAATAGCCCTCCAGACTTTAGATCAATTTGATATGACTGACAAGCACTACTAGTAGATGTCAGTGTGGGATCTTACTACTCATACTAGTCAATCAGTAGTATACAGCAGCATACACTTTTATTTGCTTTCTTGAATGCCCTTCCCGGTATTATCAAGCAGACTAAATACTGTTATCTGAAAAATTTCAGTTTACAAAGAAAATTTAACTTCGAATTATGTAAATTGTAGACTGTGAAATATTTTAATTGAATTTTAGATTTTCCCGTCGATTGATTGGACCAAAGTGCTCAGTCTCACGTTGACATGTCGGCTTCTTATGCAGATGCTTCGACGATGTATGGTGGATGGTGACTAGCAGTTGAATCCAGGATGCATTTTCATGGCTCTCTTGGCCCAAGTGGTCTAGCGGATAACTCTTCGGCGTTCGAAATTATGGGCACTGGGTTCGAGCCTCGGTGGGAACATCATCACTCACTGGGAAATGCAGATACACCTAGCTGGTAAGTCCCAAATAGGACGAAATTCGCATCCTGGATTCCACTGCTAGTCACCATTTACCAATTAAGTTGTGAAATAGTTTGCATATTGAGAAATAAATTTATGCTCATAAATCGACTTCTGAAAATTCTTTTCAACTATAATCATGTGGTCAAAATTCCCCTTCTTGTATCTTTTCATTTCTTCTTATTTATACTACTAAAAGTCAAGTAATGAGTAGTAATATTGATATTTTCGGTATTTAATTATTATCATTATTTTATTCCTTGGAACATAGGGCTTCAAGCTTTGAAGTTTCAATAGCAGTATTTGGATTTTTATGGGGTGGGGTTACCAGCCTCATCTAACCCAACCTTCCCTCTTTACCAAGCTTACTGCTGGGCTAAGTGAAGCTTAAGAGTGCATCGGCCGGTAATCAAACCTTGGACCATATGCGTGGTTGGCGAACACCCTACCACTGAAGCATCGATTCAGTTTAGTATTTGATAACTTTGATTTTTCCATTGCTAACTACTTATTTAGACAACTTCAGTAATCAGTGTGACCGCTAACAAACACGAAATCCAGATCTATGACCTTCCGCTAATTTCCTCCACTCATCTAACAATTATAACTGTCTTGATGATATTAAATGGTTGGAGGCAATCAGCCACAGGAAGCCCCAACTGACCTAGGTTTCGTGCTAGTTAGCACTCACCAGTCAGTCAGCAAGGAGTCTGTGCAATCACCTTGAAGGAGTTGATATCCCTTCTGACATACAAACCTGCGTCACCCAGTGCTGCAATCAGAGACGTTACCATTGAGCTAGCTGATTGGGGCTTGCTATTCACCTCCTGTAGAAGTGTATTGGATATTTTCGATGGGACACTAGTAACTAGTGTGATGTGTTTAGTCCTTTCTTTGGTGCAGACATCAGTTCCTTCAAGGTTGCAGATACGTCTTGTTGACTGGTGAGTGCCAACTAGCACGAAACATAGGTCTAGTCAAGGCTTCCTGTGGCCGATTGCCTCTAACCATCTAATATCATCATATCAATGTGCACCGTGATGGCGAGCCACCTAGTGCGGCATGGTGGCCACATTGTAAACTTGACTGATAGAATTCAGTCAGGTTACTGGCTAGTGTCCGATCAAAGCACCACTGGTATACGTCAGTGGTTTCCAACTATTTACTTCAATCTTTAGTATATTGTCGGGAATTAGAAGTCAATTAACAAATCAAGGGCGATATACCTAGTGAAATAATTACGAAGAAATTAAGAAAATCAGTTTAAAGAACTTTTAATGCTGGCGAACTTCACGTCTTATTCTTTACACGACCGATGGGGATTCCTCGACTGAAAGATGAAGTACTTAGACTGACTAGCCACTTCCTATTGTATCTGCCAATTCAACTGAGCGGGGCCAGTTATATTGGCTGTTACTCTAGGAACTAGATTTTTCGTGCTCACTCACGAACATCTACCAGTATGGCTAGGTAAAGGTGTAGTAAAAACCATCAGCAGTTCGATATTAGACCACCCGGTCTAAACTGGCCATAAAGCCAGCCAGCATTGAAGAATCCTTCTCTATCATCATCTACCGGGTGCCAAATAAATTGCCATAAAACATCGGGGTACCGCATGCTCCAAACAGCAGAGGGTATCGCAATTCGCGTGAAACAACCAGTGCTTTGTGTTTCAAAGAAGCAAGTCCACCTACCCACTACTATTGCCCTGGTCAGCCTTCAGTGGAGACTATAAATTCATGAATTTGTAATATTATCTTTCCTAATTTGTCTGATATTCAGTGATGCGTAGTGTTACGCTGATGCTATCGAACTGTAATCTACTGATATTATTATTATTATTGATTCGATGTTATTTAAACAACGACATTAATGTTGTTTGAATAAGGCATTAAGAAGACAAATTTCGTGAGATGATATCGTCATTTTGTAGTTTCTTTACAACCTCTTAACAACTAACATGGTTAACAATAATAAAATAAAGTTCATGAAAATTACTCAGTTAAATAAAAACAAAAGTACATACTAATGACCAATCATATTTAGATAGGTCATGTAGTCCAGGGTAGGCAATGGAAGATTGAAGTCTATTGATTTTGTACACGCAGTTTAGGCTGTATGTGATTAATCCCCCAAAGTGCTTCCATCACCTTCAATAACCTTGAATTAGAGTTATGTGGTGAAATAATTGTGAAACAGTCATTAATATTGATTTTGTGACCAGACATTAATAAGTGTTTTGCAATGGATGATGCTGGATTTCTACTAGGATTAATCGCGTTAGGATTTTCGATATGATTTACTAGCCATTTTGGAACATGTTCTTTTCGACGACCACATTGGCACATTCTGTTAGTTCTGGATATTACTATGACTAGGAGAAACGATGGAATGATTCAGCGCTCTATTTTTCGTAAACAGACGTGGAGTGGACAATATCTTCATTTTACCAGTTTTGTTCCTATCCAGTATAAACGTTCCCTGGTGAAATGTTTGTTCTCAAGGGCTCGAAAAATATGTACGAGTGACACATTGATGGATGAGCTTCGACATATACATTCAGTTTTACTAGCCAATGGTTATCCAGAAAACTTCATCAATTGTCACGGTAAGGATAGACCACATCTTGAAAAGAAAGCTTCTGTACCAAAGAAAGCTAACTTTATTAATCTACCATTCAAGGGCGACCAGATTATGCAGTTGACAGCTAAAAGACTTCGGTCAGCCATCAAACGCAGATTCTACGCCGCCATATCTCTTTTTCTCACTTGCCGAACATTTTCGATCCCTATACCTACGATTAAAGGACGAAATTCTGTGGACTCTACTTCAAACTGTATCTACAAGTTCACCTGCAGCTGCGGTGACACCTATATAGGTAGAACTAACAGAATGTGCCAATGTCGTCGAAAAGAACATGTTCCAAAATGGCTAGTAAATCATATCGAAAATCCTAAAGCGATTAATCTTAGTAGAAATCCAGCATCATCCATTGCCAAACACTTATTAATGTCTGGTCACAAAATCAATATTAATGACTGTTTCACAATTATTTCACCATATAATTCTAATTCAAAGTTGGTTGGTTATTGAAGGTGATGGAAGCACTTTGGGGGATTAATCACATACAGCCTAAACTGTGTGTACACTAAAAATAATAGACTTCAATCTTCGCCTACCATGGACTACTTGACCTATTCAAATGTGATTGGTCATTAGTATGTACTTTTGTTTTTATTTAACTGAGTAATTTCCATGAACTTTATTTTATCATTGTTAACCATGTTGGTTGTAAAGCGGTTGTAAAGAAACTACGAAATGAAGTTATCATCTCGCAAAATTTGTCTTCTTAATGCCTTATTCAAATTTATCAAAGGGACTAATTGTTTTAATTAATGTTGTTAGTAATAACACTAATTTATTCATTCATTCACTATAATGTATATATAACTGGAGAGTCTGATGATGAAGGGTTTATCGAAAACAGTATTCTTTGTTCAGTAACCATTCCTTTTGAAAATCTAAGTAGAATGATTATGACTCAACATGAAGTAGAGGTTAGTTAATAAGTTTACAAAAATCAGCCATTTACATCACTCAAACACACACGCACATTAAATTGAATTTAGAAATTAACTCACCCATTCATCGATATCCATTCGAACTGAACCGTGTAGATCATAATCCTGGGAAGTGTCAGTTGAGTCAACACTTAATCCACTAGATGATGTAGACTTAATAAATGGTAGAAATTTAACATATGGTTCACGATAACCCATTTGTGGTTTCATGCATAATAAGTCATGCAAGAAGCGTGATTCATCCCATTTCGATGAAGGACGACCATCTGATTCTGAAAATTAGATATGGAATAAAATGTAGAAATATATATATATACATATATGGAGAGACAAGAAGTTTCAAAAAAAAAGCAGATTCAAGCTTTATTCCTCGCGTCACGTCCCGAATGGAACATAGAGCAACAATGGCACACATCTCAAAAGCATTCGGTTCCTTGAAGGTTACTTTTTAACTGCCTTAATGACTGCTCCCAAAATCTTTCATTTCTTCTTCTTCAAATGATATCCTTTATCTCATCTTCAGACCAAGGTACAACTTGGTCGCTCCCAATCTCCGGATTCCAGCCAAGGGCCTAGCACATCACTGAACTGTCTTTTCAATGTATGCTCACTTCATCTTCACTTCCGTGTACACATTTTTTGGGCCATAGGTGGTTGGCTGGTTCACTGATAGTCAGAGTTCCCGGTTGTTAATGGTTTCTAGTCTTCATTGTGGAGCGAAACCGGCTGTTGATAGAAACCTGCAGCTCATAGTGAAAGCTGTGGGTGCTGAGGTGGATGCTCACAGTCTGATAAATTTCCTTTAGAAAATTTGTTGTACAACATCAAGTGTCTATCAATGACAATGTCAACGATATAGCCCAATGGGATACCACCACTCGCCCTACTGACAGTCTTCAGACATCTACAAAGTATGACATAGTCTTTTTTAAGCGATTCAGACAAGAATAAGGGTGAACAGTAAAGAAGAAGAATAGGTAAGATGCACACGAGTTGACAAACTATAAGAAGAGAAGGGTTTGGTTGAATTATTCCTGAATGCCTTAACTTCCTAATGTAAAAAGTCAGATGAAATATCCTTTCAGAAATCACTAATATGTCTGGGAAGACCAAGATACATCAGAAGAAGGAATTAATCCAAGATACTTAACTTCAGACTTGGTTTTTATATCAGTATCATCAATTTTGCAAGGGTCATAGGAACCAACAGCTTCATCATTTAACTTTCTTTTACATCGGTAACTGAAATTAACAGTCTGACATTTAGAAGGATTTAACTTAAGACCGACTATTAGACAAAGACCATTTGCTGACGACTCCTGATAGAAAGCTATTCACCTTAGTATAGTCTAGCTGGGAGTTAACAGACACTTAACAGTTAACAGTTACCTACAAACTTGAAGATATGCAAGTGAAAAGCAACAAGTTGGAAGAAAAAGCATCAAAGACAGGTCTTCAGGTGAACATAGAGAAAACAGAGGTAGGTGATGAAGATTCCTGGCCAACAACAACAGACAACAATCAGCCGGCATAAATGGAAGGAACCTGAAAGAAACAACCTCCTTTACCTATCGACCCACCTGGGAAGCATCGTTTCAACTACAGGCGAACGGAACTGATGAGGATATCAAAGCAAGGATCGGGAAAGCAAGACAAGCTTTCGTTGCTCTGAAGTCTGTATGGCGGTAAACAGCGCTCAGCATGAAAATGAGAATAAGATCCGGATTATCAACTCCAATGTGAAGTCAGTCAGTGCTACTATACGGATCAGAAACTTGGTGCGTCATAAAGTGCATCTCAAACAAACTACAGACCTTCCTCAACAACTGTGTTCGCTCAATACTTTACTCAAGATCAGATGGCCAGAACCAACCAGGAACCAATTGTGCAACAAATATGCAGGAAGGAATGGAGATGGATTGGGCATACTCTGAGGAAAGAAACCATCAAGTGACATCACTAGACAAGCCATTGGTCGAATGGAACCCGAAAGGGAACCGGCGAGTTGGTCGTCGGTGCTAGGGTGACTTGGAGGAGGTCATGTGAAGAGGAAATGAAAGCATGTGAGCAGACTTGGAGCTAGGTGAAAACTTTAGCAGAGAACCGGAGGCAATGGAGACGTGTGGCTGAAGCCCTATGTTCCTCTAGGAATTAAAGGATATATAATAATAATAATAATAATAATAATAATAACAGTAATAATTTAGAGTAGTAGTAATGAAATTACTCACCTAATGGATAGGCAATCGATATGTGTAATCTACTCTGAGTGATATTCTCTCTTGTTACATACCCATGCGATGATTCAATACTCTTTTCATTATTTGATGTTTCTATCTGATAAATCAATAATGAGATAGCCATTATTATCACTGGTAGGGATAGCCTGAGAATTAATAATAATGGTGTGGGCAGAATAATTAAACTTAACAGAACACGTAGCAATAGACGAAATTGTCTAAAGCCTATCACTAATTGATTATATAAATTGGCAAGTTTTAATTTCAACGACATATAGGTATTCAGGGAATTGAAAGCCACAGATGCTGTCGAGGATGACGAGGATGATTTGGAGGAGTGAGATGAAGGGGTAGGCAGTGGTGATGATGGAGATGGTGATGACGACGATGATGATGATGAGGAGGAGGAGGAGGACGACGATGATGATATTGCTGATACAGATACTGATGTTGATAATAATGAAGACTTATTCACTTCATGATCGGTTTTTTTATCCATCCTACTTGAAAGTGGATCATCAAATTCACCTTCGTCGAACCGTGTGTCTGGATGACATTCACCTAACGGAAAGAAATTGAAAATAAAGTAAAAAAAATATGTATGACAAGATGTTTATTTAGCTGATAGTGGTTAACAGTAAAATATACAAAATGTGGGTTTCGTCCTATTTGGGACTTATCAGGCAGAAGAAAACCATCGTTCCAAATGCCAGAGTGACATCATCTGGATCCCTGGGTCACGACAGCCACTTCTAATGAAGTGAGCATTAGTAAGTCATCTGTTGAAATTAACTGGTATTCCCCATGTTGACTGATTGATTATATTGGATCGTAATGCTTGGTCTTTGTTAACATGACATCTCCCATCACTGGAGCTTCAGAGATGTCTGAAGGTAATAGCATGCAAAAAGGAGAGTATTAATTGAGATAATCTTGGATCAGGAAGCTATTAATGATGTAACAAGCGATGATTAACGGTAGAGTCACAAAGCGATTCCAAACAGTAGTGGTGCATGAGGATTTCTAGCCTGCAGGTTTACCAGCTGAGGTAACCATCCCATAGCTCCGTCAGGTATGCCCATTATCCTCATTTCTATTCAATTTCATCATAGATGTACTAATGGACTTAACCTTAACTCACTTCAGAGATTCAGGGATTGACTTGCTACTAGGGAATAATCTCGTTGACTCAGAATATGCAGATGATATAGTCCTTCTAGGCGAAGACGCTGACGAAATGCAGAGTCTTCTAAACACCTTGAGCAGAAATCTACGAATGTTTGGCATGCGATTCGCTCCAGCCAAATGCAAGATGATGTTACAGGACTGGCTGGACTACACCGACTCCTAGTTTAGTTTCTAAATAGGGAGTGAAGTGGTAGAGCACGTTGACCGCTTCACTTATTTGGGAAGTTACATCAGCCAACGCCAGTGGGTTGATCTCTGACGAAATCTCAGCACGGATACAGAAGGCTAGCTTCGCATATACCAGTTTACGCCGTCTCTGGCTATGTAGACGTGATATCCGGCTCTCTATCGACCCAAGGGCGGGTGTACTGCTCATCAGTCCGCTCCGTCCTCCTTTATGGCTGGCTGTGAGACCTGGCCATTGAGAGTGGAAGACATGAAGAGGTTAGCTGTCTTTGACCATAGGTGCCTGCGCTCTATCTCCCGTGTGAAGTGGCATGATAAGATGAGCAATATTGAGGTTAGGCGTCGAGTCCTAGGTAAGGAGGGTAAATCAGTCGACGATGCTGTGAAGCTACATGGATTGAGATGGTTAGGACATGTGTTACGCATTCATGACTAACCGTCGCCTTCCTCGGCGGGAAATGTTAGCTAACATGGGGTCAGGCTGGAAAAAAGCTAGCGGCAGCCAAACCAAAACATGGCTTGTTCAGTCAATGATATCTACAACAGTTAGTTTGAGCCACGTAGGAAGGTGTAGACTTCCTGGTTGGGGTCCTCGGGATGGTAAAAATCAATGGTTGGAAACAATTGGTAACATGGCTCAAAATCGCTCTCAATGGCTCGCACAGATGCATTCACTCCTTGTGACTTATGATTTCCAATGAAACTATATTGTTCTTCGTTATTACTCCTCCTTTGTCTCACACCTCTGTTTACTGCCTCTATTATGCATTTTTTTTTCTACTTTCTCCTCTTGTTTTGTGTTCTACATGGAGGGAGTGTGGTGACTTGAACTTCCGCATATATGTGCAAAGTTCTATGTCGAAAACAGACAGACAGACAGACAACCATTCCATCATTTTACTGCAATCATCAGGTGTTTCACCTACCTGTCACATGTACAGGTGAAACATAACAGTCTGTGTAACATTATCACACCACTCGAAGTACGTCTAGCGTGGCATCATCACTACCATCATCTTATTCCACCCTAGATATTGTCTTGTAAACTGCTTCAACACTAAGGAATGTGATTCTCAACAGCCTAATGTGATGATGCGAGATGTCAAGTGATTCACAAAGGAGAATTCAGCAAAGCCTTTGAAGTGTTGACAGGAGTAAAACATAATTGCTGCCTACTATCACCATCGTTATTCCTGATAGTGGAGAAACTGATTCACGTGGATGATCAGAGGGAGCGAGGAGACAAAGATACATTGAGCCAAAAAGAAAATTTGAACTTCACGGACAATTTATGCCTACCCATTCGGGTTCCACTCGAGTGGTGGCCTGCATTGCGCACGATGTCACTCGACGGTTTCTTCAATGTCATATGCCTAACCAATCCATCTCCATTTTCTCCTACATATTTGTTGAGCAGTCGGCTCTTGCTTGTTGGTTTATTTCACTGAAGAGTTTCTTCCTACTTATTCTTTCTGGCCGGCCATTTGATCTTCAGTATGCAGTCAGCCAGCCAGCGAAGTGGGCAGCTGTTGATGATAGTCTGCAACATGCTGTTGGGAATCCTTTTGTGACACGCAGTGCAAGTTTCTAACCCGTATAGAAGAACTGAATAACTTCACATTTGTCTTGGAATGCCGAATCTTGTTGTCTATGCCGAGGAGGAGGAGGAGGAGGAGTGCAGAAGATTTCCAAACTGGTTGTTTCATGTTGATGAAAGCGTATCTTGTCTTTCCGATTCTGACTGGCTGGCTGGCTTTGACATCGTCATCTGTTCTGCCAGCCTGTAAGATCAATTCAATTCCCATCCTTGAATCAAGTCAACCTGTCCCGGATCAGCCTAGCGTTGTTGCGACCCAATTATCCATGCCTAACGTGTCTATCCACCCTGGTTTAATGAACTGTGTGTATGTGTTTTTACCTCGATCCGTTTAGTCAGACAGTTGAACTCATGGCCGAATCAGAGTATTTTGTGAACTGTTATTTTCTTTGACCCATGTCTAACTTTGTACTATTCTGTCGAGTTTATCTCATTTATTGATTTTCATCTGTATTTTCTTACCTGGTTAAGTAGCCAATTAAATTCTATCTCTGTGCCTATGCTCGGTCTATCTGTTAACCGCTCTCTGTTTTATGCCATACCTTACTTGGGTTCATTCTTCTACTGACTGCTTACCTGAACGGTCGTGTCTGATTCCGGCTAGTTCGTAATTTTGGCTTTAACGTTATTCCGCTCTGATAGCGCGGTACCTTGCTTTCTGTTAAGCGTTGTGCTTTGCACTCTTGAAACCGTTAAGGTTTGTTGTATATATATAATTATTGATTTGTTTATTAATAGTACCGTAGAAACAGTGACCGGCTTCTTGTTTGTTCTGGACCGGGATAGCCTTTATCTACGCGTGACTTAATTTCAAGCGATATTGCGCTTACACAGCCTGTAGTTGAAATAATACTTCCTATATAAGCGAAGGAGGTAACCTCTGTCAAATTTCTTCAATTGATGGTGACTATTGATGGTTATTTTTGTTATTGTAACGGTTCGTTAAATTATCTTCCTCACCTCCGTCTTCTATATATTCACCTAAAGTGCTGTCTCTTCGCTGCCTGCCTGCCTCGCCTCTCCTGCCAGTTTGTTGGCTTTCGCCTGCAAGTCTTCGAGTTTGTGTGACATTAGACATACATTATCCAGGCATGAAATCCAGATCTTTTAGAGTCTTCTTATCGGTGGTCCAGAGTATCCCTGACCCCTGGCTCTCCACAAACTGACACACAATCAAGTCCACTGCAATTAAGAATATCATTAGTGATAATAGGCAGACAGTCTTGTCTTACCCCTGTATGCACTTCAAAAGCCTCACTGAGTTTTCTATTGTGGATCCCCTGATTGTCACATGGCATTTCCATGTAGCTGTTGAGTAAGGTTGATAAAGACTTGGGCAAGCCGTAGTGTTGAAGTAGTTTCTCAGTCGTCATTGTCTGTCGAAGGACTCTACGAAGTCGATGAAGTTGAGGTAGGGAGAGGTTTAACTGCCATTCTATGCTTTGTTCGATGATTGTGCGTAGAGTTGCGATTTGATTTTCCTTTCTTGAATTCAGCTTGTTCTGGCTGGCGAAATGTTACACAAAGTCAGAGATTTACAGGTGAAATCTAACAAGTTGACAGAAGAAGCAGAGAAGACAGGACTTCAAGTGAAGACATGTATCCAACTACAACAACAACAACAAGCGCCATCATCAGGAGAAATTAGAAAGACATCACTTCTTTCACTTATCAAGATAGCATTATTTCAAATATAGGTGGCACAGATGAGGGTTGGGCAAAGCCAGGAAAGGATCCATAAGAAAAGATAGACCTTCATTGATCTGAAATCAGTGTGGAAATCTGCTGCATTCAGAATACGGAACAGGATTGGGTTTTTCAACACTTATCTGGAGATTAGGCGTTCGTATCACTACAAAACATTCCCAACGGTCTAATGCAAACTTTCATCAACAGTTGCCCACTTCGCTCCATACTGAAGGCCAGACAGTCGATCAGAACAGATGAGCAAGAAGAAATTCAGATACGAATCAGACGATAAGAAAATTATCTAACAAATACTCAGAGAGAAATGAAAATGAATTAGATAGATGCTGATAAAGAATGTTGAATTACATTCTCGCTTGCAAGGTAGAACCTTTGGTGAAACCCAAATAGGAAACGACGAGCTGTGTGTGTGTGTGTGTGTGTGTGTGTGTGTTGAGATTGTATGAGGAGGAAATGAAAGTTTCTGGGCAAACTTGGAGCTAGATAAAGAGGACTTCAGAGAACAGGAGGAAATTATAAATGTGCTGTTGAAGCCCCATCTTTCATTGGGAACTCTTAAGAATAAATATGAAATTATAATTCATTATAAATTATATAAATTAATCCCAGCGCATTAAAAGGAAATGGCAAAGTTAAACTTTCGACACCACTAACAACCAATCAGCAAACGACCTTGAATGGACCAATCACATTAAAGAGGCATATGTGATGAATCGAAATGTATATTTGTAGAAAAAAGCATAAAGTAGAGAATAAAAAAGTTACATGGGATATCTTTCTCGAACATGTCAGAGAAACATCTCCCAGTTTAGCATGGGACTGTCAATGGAGAAGTTACACCATATCCTGTACATATATTCATCCAAATGACCATAAATGAGAT